AAGACGGCGGCGATCGCGGAGGGATTGCGTGGAGTGTATTCGAACCTTCAAGAATTTTTCTCTCCAGAAACTGAGGCCAAGCTGAACGGAGCTATGTCCGTCTTGAGCGCCAGCGCCAGTCGTGCTGTGAACAGAAGGAGCTTTGCAGCATCGGTGCCTAAACCTTTGGTAAGTGAGCAGTCGTGTAACATTGGGTACCGCTTTCCAACAGAGTTAGGGGCTCGGCCGATCATTCCCACGGCAGCGGACTTAGATGGTGCTGGTGCCTACTTTTTTTTCATGTAATAGATGTTCGAAACATCACCGCCGGCGGTGCAGAGGGCATCTGTGATTACCAAACGGAAACCCGCACCATTACGCTCTGCTGTCATGCCGAAGCAGAATCGTACTCCAGAACCTGAGCAACAAAAAGAGGAGCACCAGACACAGCAGCAACAGCAACGGAGGAAATCTGACAAGGTTCAGCACCATGATGTGGCCCTGTGGGGTCTGGTGTCAGATGCAGAATCTGCTCGCAGGCTTAGTCAAGGCAAGGACAAGAACCAAAGGAAGTCGTTGGACGGCGTCGTCGAGTTTAAGGTGCGTTTTTTTCCTTTTTTTTCATATTTATTATTTCTTCAGTTGGAGCATGAGCCAGAATACTCAGGACAATATTTTAACGTTATCCAATTCGCCTTATAGTCGACATTGACCCCGCCCAAGAATTTGGAACCGCACTATTCTGAGTGTGAGGTCCCCCTTGAGGAGCACCAAGAACGCTTTCGACGGAAGTTAGACCGATGGAAGCGAGTTGAGCGCCAACATCAGTACGAGGCGCCACCTCTTCCGTCATACCAAGACTTGTATATCCCCACTTCTACGTCTCGGACTGCCTTATTGGCGGAGCCAGAGGTTTGGCAAGAAGATCAGCTCGAGGAACAGGAAATTCTTGAGGAAGAGAATGCTCATCGGGAAAGGATCCTACAGGACCTACGAGCTCAGATGGCACGCGAGGAGGAGTTGCGTGAGAGGAAGAGAAGAAGAGACGAGGAATTTGAGGATGGGGAGGAGATAATGGAACGAAGGCGGTTATCCAAGAGACGACGAGAAGCTGAATTTTGGTCTTGAACAAATCTCCTGATAACTGTCCCCTCTGTACCGGGCATCCACATTTAATAAATATTGATGGAGCGGCGCGAGATATCATCGTTACTGAGCTTTAAAAAGAATCTAACATGGAAAAGGATAAGGCGTGACAGAAGCTTGAACACATTAGCGTAATGAACTGGGAAATCAGATACGACGTGAATTGTGACGTGGAATTCGTATCGCGCCTGGCTTGTTCGTTCTTCGGATTCAGTATCCCTGTATCATCCTGAACTACATTATATTCTTCGAGAATAGTTTTATCCGTCTTGAAGTATCGGCAATAATGACTACTGCAGTCTTCAACAATTCACAAACTAGAACGGACAGCACATCGCGAAAGAACATGGTGAGAAAAGGAAAAGTTTGCTGAAGACACCGAAGAGTAAGGACATGGGGCGATTTAGAGTCCATTGCGCTGATAATACGCGACAACAGGTATAAAGATTATTAATCGGCATCCAAGGAGAGTCGAGAATAGTAAGTAAAAGTCGCTCCATTCGCTCGTCTACTTCTCGTGATACGCGTTGCAGAAATGCGAACTGTGCAGCTTGTCCACTAAAAATGTGTCTTGGCACTCAGATTTTGAGCTGCGCCTGCACCTTCCCCACAAAAAAACGTCGTTTGCGCTGCATTTACGCAAAAAAATATAAAAGGGGCCATCTCTTTCGATAACACTTCCTTTCCTCCAACACATTCTTCCTCTCCTTCCCATCCATTCATCCACATCCAACTCAAATACGCCCTATGTATCCTTTCCAGCGCCAAGCCTCGGCCCCAGAAAAGATGTAATTCAATGACTATGGCAACTACGTTTTTATTTGCACTGCCACATTCTCATTCTATGCACAAACTCACACATTGCTAACAAAATGTATAATTGTCTTCCCAATTAAATAGTCCAGTACGCATGAACCAAATATGCGGGCTCTTCTACTTGGGCGCCAATAACAACAAGCAGTTCTTGCCACTTGTCGACATTGTGGCTCACACCACCATCCTCTCGACCACCTCGAGGACAACTCTCACCCAGACGTACTTCAACCCGTCCGAGCGCGACCCCATTAAGGAGGTCCAGTACACCTTCCCCCTCTACGAGGGTGTCAGTGTCGTTGGATTTACCTGCCGCATCGGCAACCGAATCATTGTTGGTCAGGTCAAGGAACGGGAAAAGGCCAAGAAAGTCTTCCATGACGCGGTCGCTCAAGGCAAACAAGCTATTCTTCTAGAACAGCTTTCAAATGCTTCAGATATCTTCACTACCACTGTAGGAAACATTGCACCAGGAGCGAACATCGTCGTGGAGATCACATACCTGGGGGAGCTGAAGCACGATGCTGCAGTCGATGGTATCCGATTCACCATTCCTACCGTCATCATGCCCCGTTACGGAGACCATCCAGTTGATATCGCTAAAGGATACCTTCAGCCACCATCCGAGGGACGCATCCAGATTACGGTGGATGTGGCCATGGAGCAGGCTAGCGTGATCCAACAGATCCAATCTCCCAGTCACCCTATTGCCGTATCCCTGGGGACGACCTCGCTTGCACCTAACGCCGAGCCGGTGATGTCAAAGGCGTCTGCGACCCTCAGCCTTGGGAGCGCGGGACTGGAGAAAGACTTTGTGATCCAGGTAGTCACAAAGGACATCGGCATGTCGACAGCCATCCTCGAGACCCACCCGACCATCCCCAACCACCGAGCACTGATGGCCACCTTGGTCCCGAGGTTCTTGCTCCCACCAGAGAGGCCCGAGATCGTGTTTATCTGCGATCGCAGCGGCAGCATGTCCGGCTCGAGGATCGAACTCGTCAAATCGGCCCTGAAGGTCTTCCTCAAGAGCCTTCCCGTTGGCGTCAAGTTTAACATCTGCTCCTTTGGCGGCACATACTCGTTTCTGTGGGGCAAGAGCCAGACATACGACCAGAGCACCTTGAAGCAGGCCGAGAAGTACGTGGAGCGCATGAATGCGGACATGGGGGGCACAGAGATGTTGAAGCCAATCAAGGCGACGCTGAAGCAGCGGTACAGGGACATCTCGCTCGAGGTCATGCTGCTCACCGATGGCGAGATCTGGGACCAACAGAAGCTGTTCTCGTATCTGAACGAGCAGGTGATCGAGAGCAAGGTTCCCATCCGGGTGTTCACTCTCGGCGTTGGCAACGATGTCTCCCATGCGCTGATCGAGGGCGTGGCCAAGGCTGGGAACGGGTTCTCGCAGGTCGTTGGCGAGGGAGAAAGGATGGAGAAGAAGATTGTTCGCATGCTGAAGGGAGCACTCTCGCCTCATGTTGTGGATTATTCTCTCGAGGTCAAATACGTCGACGAAAACCGGATGACCGACACGGATGAGGATGACTTTGAGCTGGTGGAGAAGGTTGCGGACAGCCTGACGGTCAAGCTGGATCTATCAGGCGACAAGCGGACCGATCCCGAGCCATCTTCAGAGAAGCAGAAGAAGCCCATATCCTTCTTCGACATGTCGGTCGACCTCGACAAGGATGCATCCAACCACGACGAGACCGGACAAAGGAGATACGCACATCTACCTCCGCTAGCACCCCCGAAGCTACTCCAGGCGCCCCACATCATTCCGCCGCTCTTCGCGTTCAATCGGACCAGCGTCTATCTCCTCATGGGCCCAGAGTGCAGCCATCTGAAACCAAAGTCCGTGGTGCTGCGCGGGGTATCGGCGCATGGTCCCCTCGAGCTTGAGATCCCGATCCAAGTGCTCGAGACCCCAGGCGAGACCATCCACCAGCTCGCAGCCAAGAGAGCGATTGCGGAGCTGGAGCAGGGCCGAGGCTGGATCACTCAGGCCAAGGACGAAGACGGTGTGCTTATCAAGTCCAAGCACGAGAGCCAGTTCGAGCACATGGTCGAGCGAGAAGCGGTCCGTCTTGGCGTTCAGTTCCAGGTTGGAGGCAAGTGGTGTTCGTTCGTGGCTGTTGACAGTGAACAGGACGGGGACAAAGCAAAAGAACCGGAGTTGCTCAATGTCCTGAGTGCTGCTCCGGAAGCGCCGCCAGCGCCACCAATTTACAGAGCATTCCAAGGTTCGTCCCTGAGTTGTCTTTGTATTCAGTGTGCTAATGATACATTTGTATTCACCCTCAATTTCATGTGTGTCACATCTCCTAACATCATCCAAACCTTTTATCTTCACTGGTAATCTCAGCCTCAGTCCTACATGCACATCCTTCTCCTCCTCCACTAGGGATGATGGCTTATACTAATTCTATTCCACACCAGCACACGCCGACCTTTGGGGCTCAAATGGTGGCGTCTCCAGTGCTGTCGAGCTATGCACCGCCAATGCACGCATCCTCCTTTAAATCGGCTTCTAAATCTAGATCGATACCTCATATACATCAGAGCACGCACATCCAGCAACAGCAACAGCAACAACAACAGCAACAGCAACAGCAGCGACTATTCAGAATGCATCAAAGCCCAGCCCGGGGGTTTGGATCGGTGCAGCCTCAGAGTTGTTCCCCTTCTAGTTTCAGATCGGCGGCGCTGCCACAGTTTGAGACGTCAGCGGACGACGACGAGGAGATATCGGATGTTAAAATTGGCTCCCTGACTGCACAAAGCTCGGCCTTGGCCCAATCTGCTCGGTCCATAGCAAAGGAGCTCGTGCCTCAATCAGCGATCTCACGCGCGCCGACCAAGGAGACATCGGGAATGAAACGTAAAAAGGTAACAGGGAAACCACTCTTTGGTAGCCCCTCAGGCAGCAGTAACAACAACACACTCTTTGGCAGTGCTCCGACCAGCAGCACCGCACTGTTTGGCAGTCCTGGAGGTAATAGTTTTGGCGGTAGTCCCGTAGGTCTCTTCGGAAGCACTGCAGGCGGTGGAAGCAGCAGTGGTAGCAATTTGATTGCCGCAGTGAAACCAGCAGCGCCTCAGGGCGGTGCAGCGACCTTGGCATACTTGGTCGACTTGCAGACATTTGAGGGATCCTGGGCGTGGCGGTCGGAAATGTTGAAGTCTCTCAATGTTGCAGTGGCAGATGCAGATAAGATAGCTAAGGATAACGGATGGGATGTCAGGATCATGGCGACAGCACTGGCGGTCGTGTACTTTGAAAAGAAACTAGCCAAGGACAAGGATACCTGGGAGCTGGTGGTCGAGAAGGCGAAGGACTGGATGGAGCAGCAGATCGGACACGATGGCGTAGAAGTGGTCTTAAAGAAAGCCGCAGAACTGGTCGCACCGGGCACACCCTGAGAGGAATAAGATCGATTAGGTACAGATTGGCTTAATAAATAATAAAGTATATGTGCATACAACCTCCGAGCACTCCAGAATTTATGAGAACGCAAAAAAAAAAAATAGTTGGCATGGTGAAGTGCTTGATTTATTGTCATCTATTTCTTAGCGCTCTCCTTCTTAGCGTGTCTGCGGAGACGCTTATGCACAGGCTCTAATTTTCTAAAGACTTTCAAGCAGCTTAAGATGAAAGGCTTCAAGGCATTGTAGGTTTCGTCAAAGGCCTCCCTATGGGTCATTCTATGAGGGCCGAGGTGGAACCAAAATATCTCAATGTGTCTCTGTCCTTGGCGTTGCTGACTCTTTTTGAGCTCTGAACAGATGACGTCGTATTGGTGCCCGATCAACCATCGATGGAGAATGCGTTCCAACAAATTCAGGAATACTATGGGCTTAGTGCCCACGTCGCGCTTGCAGTCAGATGAAGGAAAAGCCCTCATCCATTCTGTATCCACTCTGCAGTGGGCAGACCTGTAATTCACGGTGCGCTTAGCCGGATTGCCGCTGGAGCCAACTTTTATTGCCGAGATGACTGTAGTGTTGAATGTTGTAGAAGAATAGAAAAGGATTTTTTTTAAGAAGAAGCGTAGGAAGGAGACCGAATCCGTAGAGACAAAAGCGCACCGATTTTTTAGGCTTTCGACTGCACTTACCATCCTGATCTTGACATCTGGAAACATCTATCTTCATGATCTTCTCGATGTCTTTTGGACGGTCCTCGTATTCGTACGGCATAAGATATATGAATCCATCTTTGAGGCAACTCTCGAACTTGCCAGCACTGAGGTCTCTACAGAAGTCCATGATGGTCTTTCGGATTTCTTGCCTTATGGGCTGGCTCACACCATCCGTCAGTTCTATGGGCGGATAATCGACAACGTCAGGAACAGAGAAAGCGAACAAACTCCCAAAAAAAAAAAAAAAAAAAAAAAAAGGCGAAGGTGCTGCATACGTACCGTCGAATTCGTCTTCTTTCAGCAAAGTAATATCCTTACCCTGGAGCTTGAATTTTATAGCACGACTCCTCGTCGACCTGGAACTACTGGAACCGGTATCCGAGCTGTCCACATAGCCCTGTGGACCGTGCTCATTGATGCGAATGATATACGGAACCAGATCCTCCGGATTCTTCAAATGACGGACTCGGTGCCCCATCTTTCGCACCGGTTCCCTGCGTGTGGCAGCGGTAGATACGCTTGATTCTTGCTCTGCGCACGAAACATCTGGGGACGACAAAGGGTCTTCATCGTCTGAAGGAATGGTCGCTGATTTCTTGCTAGAAGACGTTACTGCCTTCTTATAAGACAATTCAGGTACCGGTTCTGGAATAGGAAGCTTGACCTTGCGCCGGGATTTCTTATGTTGCTTAACAGAAGTTGCAGGCGGAGGATTGGCAGCAATCAGGACAGGCGCCGCTCGATCTTTATCCGAAGGGCCTGCATCCGGCGTCGCTAGTGCTGTGGTAATTTTATCCTTCCCTTTGGCCGATGGGTTCTTGTCGACAAAGGTGAAATCCGTCCTTGAGTCGCTCTTTGAGATGGATAGTTTGTTGGTGTCACTTGGATCCTCTCGAGGAATGGTATCAGTACCGTGCTCGGCAGCTTCGCCATCGTCAGCGAGGGTGGCCGTCGATGCTGCATCAGGAACGACCTGTTCTTGCTGCGGTTCTTCATCATCAGCGGAGGAAACGCCAATCTTGTTAGCGATCTTGTCGTCGGCATCGGTGTTAGCCTCGGCATGGGCCTTAGTTACGATTTCGTTGGTGCCTCGAGTAATGGATACAATGTTGGTGTCGGCTTTAACCTCCGGTTTGATCTCAGTGTTGACGTCGCTGTTGGTCTTGCTAGTATGAGTTGTGGATGCCTGGTTCGAACCCATAGACAGGTCTTGCTTCTGAGAGACGCCAGTGGAGTCATTATTGGCCGAGACTTCGGTGCCAGAAGAAGGAGCGGTATGCACGGTTTCTCGAGCCGGACACAACCTCAGAGTAGGAATAACCCTTTCCTCGTCGTTCGATGGAACAGCGCCCTCCTCGTCGTTCGATGGAACAACGCCCTCCTCGTCGCTTGAAGGAGCAATGGCCTCTTTACCACTTGCAAGAGTAGTATTCTCTTCAAGACTCAAAGGGACGAGCTGGAGCGCGTTGTTCACAATAGGAGGATTGTTATCGGTGTCCTTTAGACCAGTGATAAGAGTAGCGTCCGTGGACTCATCCAGGTCGTGGAAACTGGTTGTGGGCAGTGCAATGGTCATGGTAAGCGTCATAAGGAAGGCAGTCGTGAAAAGAAAGGTGGAGAAAACGTCCTTGAGAACCATTCCTTGTTTATATATGTCGCGAGTCCAATGCACCGCAGTCTTTTCTTGTCGGCACGAACCTGTCATTTCCACAAAGGTCTCTATCCTCGCCCGGGTAACTTCTAGAAAGAATGCTGTACGAGATGCATTGTTCATTGTGGATTTGGTCGATTTTGGATGATGCTGGTCCTCTCTTTTGTTTCCTGGCCTTCTTGCACTTTTTACTTCGTGTTTTTGCGAGCCCAGCTTCAATGAGGTGACCGGCTACGCAGTCTGCTATCTCATTCTCGAATTCAAGTATATTAAAGGAATACGGCTTCAGTACTTGATAGCCCTTTATTCATAATTCTGCTGTGCATCTGCTCTAGCAACTAGTGGTGATCAGTTGAAAGTAAGCTCCTCAGCGTCATTGCCATAGTATTTGACAACCTCGTGGCCGCTATACTGAGTATATAGCTTAGCACTCTCGTAAACAATCCTGCGGCCGTTTCCCAGGATCTCCTTTCCAACCCAGGCGCCTAAAACATTATCAACCTCGTATGGCCGGACGCTCTTCCAGATAGTCTTGACTTGATTGGGCGGAAGTGGCCAGTAGTTGGGGAAGCTGTACATAAACGATACGGACTTGCGCGAAGCTGCAACCATCATAGTATCGGCAACGAGGAGGTTCTTGTTCCAGAGCAGGAGGGCTGATCCATCAAAGTGACCACCCGGGCACAAAACCTTGATCTCGCCATCAAGGAGATCGAGCGTATTGCCCTCCCAGAAGATGTGATTGTTGGCCGGACGTTGGACCCACTTTTTGTCGTTCACATGAGTATAAACTGGAATGCCGCCAAATGCTTCGCTCCAATCCTTGAGAGAAGAATAGTAGTGCGGGTGTGAGATCACAATGGCCTTGAGACCGCCGAGTTCCTTGACGTGGGCAATGGTCTCGTCATCGAGATAGGTGATGCAGTCCCAGAGGACGTTGCCCTCGGGCGTACGAATAAGAATGCCGCGCTGGCCGATCGCATACTGTGGAGCTGTCGAAATCGAAATCATATTTTGCGGGTCGGCCTCTGTTGGAGTGAACTTGTTAGAGTACTTGCCACTCGCCTTCATCACCTCGAGGGTGGTCCATTGCTGGCCTCCCACGCGAACATATTGGCGCGGCTCGTCGCAGATAATACAGGTGGCGAGTGGGGCACCTATATCGTCAGCCGGAGTGTTGGTGCCGCATGTAACGCACACAAAGGATAGCGAAGAAGTCATATTCGGAGCAGTGGTAGCGTTTCGCGTCTGTGTGTGTTGTCTGGCAACAGAAGGTGTGTGGGAAGGTAGCGTGAGATAAATCCAAGATGGACGTTGGATATTGCTCGTATTTATACATTTCATGCGTGCATGTGCGCAGCTGCGGATGACTGGTCAAACCAGAGCGTTCGATTTAGAGAGGAAAAAAATGACTTGTCTATTTGTAAATCGAAGGTTCTCTCACTAAGGCAAACAAACACACAATGCGCACTTTCCATGTAAGGCAAAACGAACCGCACGCGTTCAAACCTGAAAACGAACAGTTCGTTTTCCACCGTGCAGAATGTTCACGGGCTAATTGCTTGGCCTACAGGCTTGTTTTCCTGCTGTAGGGCCTGCACTATATTGACCTATGTTACGTATGAATACCCTTCACGTGGTGCAGATGGGAACCGCTTTATAAGGTACCGGCTACCCTGAAAATAATGGCCCCTCTCTTGCCTTTTTGACTTCCTTGTCTGTAAGTGGATATAAGGGTAAAATATCCACTGCGTTCGGTGATACGGCTGTTCGTTTTTTATTTCTTCGCCATCCGATCCTACAGTAGGAAAGCCTTGACCAAGCTCTATCTAAAGGCATTACCCCTATTACTCCTGCAAGCCTGTAGGCCAAGTAATTAGTCCGTGAACATTCTGCACGGTGGAAAACGAACTGTTCGTTTTCAGGTTTGAGCGCGTGCGGTTCGTTTTGCCTTACATGGAAAGTGCGCATTGTGCGTTTTCCCTTTTTGGAAGGTGTTCGTTTTACTTTTAAGTCAAAAAAAGGGACGGTCTGGTTTGACTCAGGCTAAAAATCAAAACCCATGCACATCGTCAGAGGTGCATCGCCCCTGAGTCTGCACCGCCCTCGCAATGGGTGGTATTGTCAATAAGACGCATTAAATAAACGGTTCCCTACAATGCGCCGCGACCTAGCGCGCTACAAAATTCTTTAAAAGGTCCACATCCCTTCGCCTAGGAAATGAAAGTCATAGGTTAGACTCAGACAATTACTAGGCAAATGGATATGCCTATAGAACCCACCTACTCCATTGAAGTGTGGAGATCGCTTGCCGCCTTTCCTCTCTCAGGACCAACGATTCCATTTTTGTTACTTTAACACGTAATATTTATTTTCTGATATTACACATTTTACTCCTGTGCCAACATATGTTCACACAACTCGAGTGCATTGCCAACAGCTGCCCCACGGTGGGTCCAGCCATCAAACGACCTGAACTCGAGCTCCTCCTTTGGCAACAGGACTACGTTTCCACCATCAGACTTGGCCTCAAGCACCCTGAGCTCTTTGACATCATGTCCGACCATCTCGAGTGCGTCCAGGAACGGAATCGTCTTGTTCTTCCATGACCCACCTGCGTGCTTCAACACGAACTTGGAGATGCCAATTGCGCACAATGTCTGTTCTCCTGCGCCTTCAGTTTTGCGAGAAGGAGTATACATCCTGTGTTCGATCACGAACCATTTCTGGTTCCAGGCCAACAATCGAGTTCGGATCTCGAAGGACTGGAAGAGTGTGATCTCTTTCTTGAACAAAAATTGGTTCCCTCCCAACACGAAGGCGATCTTGCGAAGTGGGTGCAACGGGAGGACACTGGAGCCGAAGAGGGATGTCACGTACTTGACCCTCGCATAGTCACAGTTCTTACCATAGGAACTGCCATTAGACATCCACGGAAAGAGAAAAGGTAGAGAGAGGAAAAGAAGAAAAGCGTTCAGTCGATGTCAATGATGGCGTGTCCCCCAACTCGTCGGTTTCCTTTGGTTATGCATACCTGTTCGAGAAATGGAAGTTGAGGTCGAGGTCATCGACCCAGACCCGTTCTCTGACCACGCTGGTGTCTGTTGGTTTAATCCTGAATCCTTTGCGATGGCTCAACGAATACAGCTGCACGGCTGCGATGCGGAGGCCCATCTTTGCGTGGAACACCCCCGGCAGGGACTTGAGGTTGAGCAACAGGACCAGGAGGATAAGGCGACGAAGGTGTTTACGCACCATGACCTGGCGCGGTCGTACGTGTTGAAAGTAGAACGAAATCAGGTTGGCAGAGTACTGCAGGGCGGGTGGTGGCAGCGCCAGCAGGATCTTGTTCATGGTTGAGGGTGGCATATTGGTATTTGATGCTCCGGTAGTTCTCTGAGGAGTAGTATTAGGAGGTCAGTGAGAAAAAGAAAGAAAGGGAATGGCGTAAGGATGAGGAGGAATGAGAGGAATGAGAGTGCTGATGAGCGAAGAGGACTCCTTGGAGGGAATGTGGAGAAAATAAAGGAAGCGGGAACCGAGTGCACGGATGGATGTCTTTCTGAAGTGTCGCCACCATTTTTTGTGGGGCGGAACGGGCTCCCGCAAACGCGTCTGTCTTTGCTGACTGCAGTGTTTCTCAAAAATATTCGACTCGTGCTAGGCCAATGTAAAATTCGAATGAAATTCGAAATTCGATTCGACAGTTACATTGGCCTAGCACGAGTCGAATAAAAGTCGAATATTTTTGAGAAACACTGGAAGTGACAGACACGTCTCTTTATGTAGGCAGAGAAAAACCGTCTATGGAGCTATGCAGCTACGACTATAGACTCAATGTTTATTTCACCGGTGATGGCGGTGGAGGAGATTGTCGAGGCTGGCTTCACTGCGAAGGATAGCGACGCCCGTAGAGGCCTGTTTGCGGAGTCGGCGACTGGCTGTGCGCTTTAGACGCGGCGGTAGCTTGCTGCGTTGCTGGTCTTGCGCTGTGCTGAACTTCCAGGCGTTCCCCTGTTTGTGGTTGTGATGGTGCTGCTGCTGAAGTTGCTGAGCGCAATAATCGCTGCCGACTATGACGCCGGGGATGCCGTGTGCGCCAAAGTCCATTGGACTCATGCTGGTGATGATATGGGCGTTGGAAATCATCATGCGCTCGACAGAGACCGGAATACTGTTCTTGTGAGTATGTTCTGTGGAGACGGAATGTGTCTGAGAGGCCATTTTTGTGTGTGTATGATTTTGTGTGTGTGTGTGTGTGTGTGTATGTTTGTGCGTGTGATTGCGAGTAGTTTTTTCTTTTGGAGTCGAGGGGATTTCGAACCCTTTTATACCTCACGCGACGCGAGGATGATCGTGACAGTCAAATGAGTTTAGGGAACGTCAAATGAGTTTAGGAGAAGTCAAATGAAGACCGTCAGCTGAAGGGAGGATAAGAACCTGTGGGAAGTGCTCCCAGCCAACCAACCAACCAGATTCACCTTTGATTCCCTTGAATCCTTCCATCCTCCCACAACGCTTTTCACATCTACAGCTCATCCCCAACGATGGCTGCCACTCTTGCCGACGTCTTCTCCTGGAAGTCCTTTGCGGAGCTGCTCCAGAACGGCTACGACAACCTGCAGTTACCGAGCTCGGATAACACCTCCCTCTTCCTTGACTTCATCGTTTACCATGCCACTTCAGATCCCCTCATCTTTGCCATCAGGGCTTCGCTCCTCTTCGCCTTCATCTGCTGGTTCCAGTCAATGGCTACAGGAACACATTCCTGGGTAAAATACACGCAGCGGAAACTGTACTCTGCACACTTGCAGCAAATCACACATTGCCAACTACTTTCAGGTACAATCAGCATCCTAACCCAACACAATGGGAATGATATCTAGGTCGACAGACTGTGGTCAATTGTCCCGGTCCTCTACACCGTCCACTACTCGGTCCGTGACATGCTCTACTGGCCCAAGGGCGAACCCTTCGACTACACTCCCCGTGTCTACATCGCCACCGTTCTAATCCTTGCCTGGGGCGCGCGATTGACCTACAACTTTTATCGCAAGGGAGGCTACGCCTTCGACAGCGAAGACTACCGCTGGCCCTACCTCGGATCAAAGATCCCATCGGGCATCTGGTTCTTCTTCAACGTCTTCTTTATCTGTCTTTTCCAGAACCTGCTGCTCGTCGCCATCACCGCGCCTGTCTACACCGCATGGAGGACGACCTTTGTTGAGACCACGCCATTGAACTGGATCGACGCCGTCGCAACCCTCCTGTTCATCGGCGGGTTGGCTCTTGAGACCATCGCAGATGAGCAACAGTGGGCATTCCAGGAGGCAAAGCGAAAGGCCATTGCGAAGAAGGAGGTCCTCACGGGCGATTATAAGCGTGGTTTCTTCACCCAAGGACTGTTCAAGTACTCACGACATCCCAACTTTTTCGGCGAACTGACTATCTGGTGGTACGAGCGACCGTTTCTTTTACTGCTGCTGCTGCTGTTGTTGTTGTTGTCGATGTGTGTGATGTCTTCTTGACCTCATCTCACCAAGATCATACATCTTACGATCGTACTTCTTGACTGTTGTAATCCCTATAGGTCCGTTTACCTGTTTTCAATCGCTTCTGGATATCCAACATATGTTGCGTGGATCAACCCTTCGATCGTCGGCGTCGCCAATCTGACCCTCCTGTTCCAGGGATCGACCTGGTTGACAGAGTACTTGACCTTCAAGAAGTATCCTACCTACAAGCTGTACAAAAAGACTACTTCTCGCTTGATTCCTCTGCCTGCTGGGACCAGTCTGGACGAGCTCGAGAGAAAGTCGCAGTGATTTTGTATTCTAAAATATGTATATGAATAAAAAAAAAAACGACATCGACGTTGTCGACCAGGTTCATATCCTTAGAAAAATAACAACAGCTCTCTCTATTACAATTAAACTATTAGTGGTGTACTCTATTTGCCAAGGAGACTAGGATGAATAAATGGGCCAGACGCGTCAACTAGACAGGGCTAAACAGAATTGAGCAATGGCTGATGCTTTTGGGTGCGGGTGTACTAGAGAGTGAGGGGTATATTCATGTAAGGAAACAGAGTGTTCAGTCATCCAGGGACTCGGACACCTGCTCCCAAAAGCCGATCAGAGACTTGACTGGTGGGGGCTTGTTATTCTTGTAGCCCTTCGTCATCGGCATCGAGGCCCTCCTCAAATTCTCGATCGACGCCTTCTTGACCGGGAACGTCGGCGACTGCAAGCTCTCGGCCTTGGCTTGGATAGTCATGCTGGTGCCGATGCGAAGCGTGGCCTTACGGGCCTCCCTCTCCGCCAAAAACGTCCGCCGTGCGAGCGAGGACGAAGGGTGGACGTGTGGTCGGGAAGCAAACATCCCTCCGCCATTGAGCTTCTCTGCTGAAAACAGCGGCACCTTGGACGAGCGTACGGACGACACAGACGAGGTCACCTCAGAGGAAGGCGATACGACCAGCATAGCAACTGCCAAAGTGCCGGCACTCTCGTTGTTCAGCTCTGAGGATTTCGATGCCCGGCGCTGCCTCGAGCTGCTCACCGGCACAAGGAACGTATCTGCGATAGGCGTTGCGAGCTCCTTATTTTCGGAATCGGTCTTCTCCATCGTGGTGATGGAGGCAGCTCCTAGGATGGCAGGGAGACTTTTCTCCTGCTTGGTATTGCCATCAAGAGTAGAAGAAGACAACGCCGATTTCGTTGCCTTGGCGCCGTTTGCCAGGTCATTGTCAGCAATAGGAAGCTCCTGAATGATAGTCTCGGAGATTTGCAGTGAGACCCTAGGAGAAGTAGCAGTAGACTGCGAAGTCTCGACCTTGTCGAAAGTAGCCGTGGTAGTAATGGTAGTGGTAGGTGTAATCAGGGACATGTCGCAGGACTCGGTCGAGTCGGCTGAGAGAGGGGTACTGAAAGTGGTGGGTGTCTGTGGGGTGGATGGGGAGCCCCAAGGCGAGACCTGGACAGAGGAGCGACGCTTGATGGCCACACGGGCCATACTGCTCAGACGCCGAAACACGTTGCGAGGTTGCTGGTAGTTTTCTGTGGGTTTGGATAATTTCAAGGACGACATGGTTCGTAATTTTGCCGTTTCGAGAGGAGCCGTGTGAGGGTTTTTTTTTTTTTTTTTTTTTTTTTATGGAGAGGAAGGGGTCGGTGGATAGATGAGTTCAAGTTGAAGGCCGTTAGAAAGACAATACTCGTAATTGATCAAGGCGAACAAAAGAAATCCAAAACAGAACATGAAAAAAATAAAAACGTTAAAGGGTGTTCATACCAGCAGCCATTTTGATCTTGTCAACCACGCTATTGAGCTGGGCACGGTAAGCCATGCAGAAACTTGACTGAGGATCAATGCGCTGGAGCCACTCCTCGTAGCAAGCCAAGTGCTCGAGCGGTTGGCGAAGGGCCGAGTCCCATTCGGCAAGCATGTGGTCCGGGTTCTAAGAATTGACGGAGTAGTAGGCAGATATCTCAGCATGGGACCAGGAGAAGCGTTTATTTCTTACTTCTAATGAAATATTAGCATCGCACAACCAGTACCATGGGACATGGACATGGATACGAGCACAGACATAAGCATGGAATGTAGAAATTGACCAATGGCCACAAGAAAAAAAAAAAAAAAAAACGCGCCTTCACACGTCTGTGGTACATAGGACATGCATATGATCAGGAGTCAGCCTTGGCCCTTTAACGGCTTTAGTGTACAGCCTTTTGCTTACCTGCTCACGGCGAGTCAGCTTTTTTAGGGAGATAGACAACTCTCGACTGTGCTCAACAAGGATGGGCTCAAGGGCCATCAGCTATAAAAGTGCCACGCAGATGTTAACTGACTGAAGAAGCAGAAGCAGATGCAATGCAGTTGGCCCTCACGAGCTTCTGTCCACCTACCAGCTCATTGATCAATTCCGCAGCCTCACGAAGGTCCTCGATTACAGCAACGACATCCTATGATCCAGATCCAGGCCGGAAACAAAGAATGGGCATGCATTCACCGTTAGTCATGGCTTTTTTTTTATACAAATATAACTCTTGCCGGGACAAGGAGAGGTGAAATTTTAGAATGCTGGGGGGCGGCCCAATTAAGAAAAGAAAAAAAAAGGAGGCAGTGTATCAAAGCAGCTGTCATAAAAAGCACAAGGCACAGAGGTCAAGGGGTGCACAACATAGCACACAATGGATAAAATATGGACACAAACGACCTGTATGCATGTCAAAGCGCGTTCACGTCCAGGAAGGGTAGACAAAGACAACGACCGTATGCACGGACTGTGGAGAAGAATAGAGAGGAAATGGTCCAATACTCACTTCATGAAACTTGGAATGAATCTGCACCATCTCAGCCCATCGATCAACCAGCGATCGGACAGTAGTGCTCTCCTTGCGGCCTACGGTCACGGAGGTTTCTACAGCTTGGTTCAGAGCATATGCAATCCGCTAAGAATGAAAAAGAATGGGCGCAACAAAAAAAAAAAATATTCGTCCATTAATATCTTGTATGTTATATGCGAAATATCGTAAATGTGCCTACATGATACAACTCCATTATGTACATTGAGTGTGGTGAGGTGATGTCCCTCTGAGATGACAAGATCTGTAATGGCCATCGTCGCCATTGGCTGTGGGTATGTTCTCATTTTAGGGCTCGATCCGTATGCACTGTTTACGTCTGAATCATTCATGCCAGCTCCGGACGACAAAGTGTCTGAGTAGCGTGGAGAACTTGAGCTCATCATGGTTGATGAACTGGAAACAAATGATGGTGACGGCGACGCCGGGTGGGGGCGTAGTTTAGTGTCCAAAGAGGGGACAGTCTTGGATACAGTCTTTCGAAGGGGTAGCTGATTTAAGGTGGCAACTGGTGCGAGCAATGGTGTACGCAGTCCCGTAGATTCCTGGAAGAGAAGGGCTGGGGTAGACAATGAAGTATCTGAAACCGAGGGTGATCGCGAAAAGGAGTTCTGTAGCTGCAGCTGTTGTTGTTGAGGGTGTCCCTGGATATGTGGAGGTGAGCCACGTCTTGAGCTCAATGAAGGAGAAGGTGATAAGCCCTTGCTCTTGGAAGCAGCTGGAGTTGTGAGAGGAATACTGATGGAGGATACTAGCGGCAGAGAAGTGGAGGACGCAGAGAAGGAGGGAACTGGACAAGGAGAAGGCAAAGATCCAAAGGCGTGGCTGACTTTTTCAACAGAGGACTGGGAGGCCATACTGATACAAGAGCTGGCGTTGGATGACAGGCTATAAATACTGTGGCCTTGCACGCTTGTTTGGCTGAAGGTGCATGGGTTGTTGCTATGGTTGTATATGGAAGGGTAAGGATGATGTGGAAGGTACTGCGCGCATTGAGTGAGGTCAAGGCTACTCTTGTTGCTGTTCTTCGACAGGTTGTAGAAGGAATGGTCACTGAGACTGACGCTGCTGCTCACGCTGCTGCCAATGCTGCTGCCAATGCTGCAACTGTAAATACTGCTCCTACTACTATATACACTGCCGACGCTGTATGAGTGCTGATTTCCAACAGAAATAGTTGTGCAGGAAGGGAGGGTAGCAAACAGGAATGGAGCTTGGGAGATGTGGTGAGACATGACGATGAAGTAGGTGATTTTACAAGTTGGTGTGCTTGAAGGTAATGCCGATGGGTGCCGTGTTTAGTTCTGTCTGTAATCGTGTCTGGAATACAAAAAAAGAAAAAAAAAAAAAAAAGGGCCGGTAGTATCTGTTCTGGGACAGTTTATGTCAGTGCAAATCAAGAGGCAAATGCTGAGGAGAGAAAAGTGACAGAAGAGACTGGAAAAGGGAACAAAGTGGCGAATTAATGTTGTCCCGTCGAACAGGGAATAAACGAACGAACGAACGGAGGATTGGCTGGACGGGGTATTAAGCACGTTGAAGGTTAGCTAGATACCTGGTTAATCAAAGCATCGGAAGAGGGCGCTGGGAGCTGGAGCAGAAGGACTCTGTCGTGACCAAAGTAGAATGTGCACTGCAGAAATATATTTTTACATGTCCTAGGAAGATAAGTGGACGACTAATCTGCAGGGTGCGAATGTTTGTCCTTGGCTCTATGGCTGATGTCGCCCTTCCTTTGCTTACTCTGCTTCTGCTTCCATTTTTATAAGAAAGCTAGTGTTTATGCGCAAGCAAGGGACAGGAGTCATTCGTTTGTCAGAAAATAGACGGGAGTTAACGCGGCAAAGCCTAACAGATATCAATTGCATGAGAGCCAACTTTGCCTAGAGAAAGATGGTTATAAAAGCGGCACATAATATACCATGGTAGAGCCTCGATGTTGCCTGCGAGCGAATTACTGTGGTGGTGGCTCTGGCGATGAGCTCCAGCGAGCTGTCACTATTCAGATTGGTCATTTCAACTGCCATGGATCTGAGTGTCTGATAATGAATCCTGTGGATGGGTTGTGTTCAGTACAAACAGACACGTACATTTCATATCCAGGGCACGCACAGTGCTCGTTCATGATTGGCCAAGAAAACACGCGTTTTCCTAGGTTGCCAAGCACCATGTTGCTGAACAACACGATACATTCTCTAGTAGGTCTCCAAAAGCAAAACGTTGTAAGAAAAAATTCTAGTACCTAGGCCGTCATTGTTGTCTTTTCGATGTTTATCGAAGGAGAACAGGAGCGGCGGATTTGCAGGCCCAGGGGCTGTTAACATGTGTGCTTGGTGACATTCCATAAGTGATGAACATACTGGTCGCGTATGTGTTTCCTGTCTTGGCACCTTGGCGATATAGCCATTAGACATAATTCAACAACAGGAAGAATCACACGAAGGCACAGGTACTGGGCTGGCTGTTGCTTGTAACATCCAAATCCTTAAGCAGCGCAAAAGCCGATCTCCCCTATTCTATGGCTGTCAAATTTATGCATACAGCCAATGCACTTCTAATGTGAAAAGAAAGGCTTTTTTTTTTAATTGATCGCTGTCGCGGCGATGATGCTTGTAAAATCCCCCGGTCCATCCATCATGTTCATCCTTTATCTGTTCATTCTAATCCATGGGCTTTGCTTCTTAGTTATTCATCAGGTTCAATGTTAAATACCATGTATACGCCATACCCTTCAACCTTTTGCTCCTTTGTATCTTCACTAACCTTCCTCTGTAACTTTAATTGACGAATCGCTTACTGCTCATTTCAAAACTACTCTCGCCGTTGAGAACGTAAGTGGGTGCATGTCACAACTGACTTTCCGATGCATATCCTTCATATTTGGAGTCCAAAGTACGCATCAATATGAAGGTTGACTCCAGTTGTCGCCATGGATGAGTGCATGATCCAAATAAATCGAGAAAAGCGTGGAGTGGGTAGTCTGCGTTTAGAGGAATGATGCTCGCGAAAAAGCAGATAATGCTGGTATATTCCGCGCCTGGTTCTTCATAATGCTGCTGACGCAGGTTTTCTCAGGCGGGGCCTTTTTGGGCACATAATTTGAACAAGTGTTGCTTTGACGGGAATGGCAAGTGACGGCATGTGGATTTTCCTTCTCGTGCTCTCCTTGCTGACTATGAAAATTAGTCAATAGCATGTTTTTTAATACCTCAGGAAGGTGTGGGGAGATGAAGAGAAGGTTTTTTTTTGTTTCTGAACGTTGTTTCTCACTGTCTGAGAAATAAGAAACAGCTGTGGGGTCGGCCATATTTATCATATACCCCAACCCAACACCCGACCTCACCCAGGTCACTTCAATTGCCTCATTATATTCGTCCACACAACCTTCCTGGGCTGCCCTTCCTTCCTCTCTCTTCGCCCCTTCTTCTTCACCCCCTCCTCTCTTTCCATTCCTCTCATTCGTCCTCATTGCAACGAACCCATTCCCTCCTTTCGGATTCCTCCCAAGCCCTCTCAGTGTTCATTTCACCCGTTCACTCTGCGTTACCCCTGAGTCCATAGACCGCTTCTGCTCAGTCTCTCTCCACTCTCCTACACAGCCATCTGTATTCATCCTTACGCTGTAGGTGAGCAATCCCAGGCCAGAAGCTCGCTCCTTTACCCTGACTCCTAGTAGCAGCTTATTTGCTACTGTTAGACCAACTGTATGTGTGGTTTTTTTTTCTGCTTTTTCACACTACTTATAACCTGTCCTGGATTAGCTCAATCTTGATGGTAGTCATCTAATCAACTCACACAACATCTTACTCCTATCCCGATCTGCACACTATCGCCCCTCCCTTGACCCCTCACACCCTTAGGATTGCGCGCCAAAAGCACAGGGTGCCATGAAGGACAACACATCTCCCGCTTCCTCTCGCTCGTCATCCTCGAGCAGCTTCTCAAAGACGACAGCCCTCGACCCCCCTCATTCTTCCTCTGACCTCCATCAAACCCATCATCTTCACAAGCTGCGTGATGTCGGCCGAGGGGACATCATCAAAGACCCATTGTATGCACTAGGAGAAACATCATCAGAGCCCATTCATACTTTTTCTATCGCACCATGCGACCAGAGCAGCATTGACGATCCTGAGAAAGGCCGCTGCGATCGACGACATTCGGCTCAACTACCTGACGAAGCTGCCCAGGTCGAGAATGAGCTTGGACCGCTCTGTACTTGGGCTGAGTTGCCACAATGGATGCAAGACAACCCAGCTATCTTGACAGGATATCGAAGGGCGACCTATAGTTACCACAAGTGTCTGCGATCGCTTGGTTATCTGCACAACGAAAGCGGTAAGTGAGCCTATTCACTGTACTAATTGAAAAAGATACAGGATACGGCTCGTGGTTTTCCATTCATAGTTAACCGTGGTTGCACAGACTGAAGAGCAGCACATGGGCCTCAAGTTTATCGATAAAAAACAGTTGGCTAATGACGCTTTCCTTCTCTAGTCAACATTTGGTCGCATCTGCTCGGCGCCGTGGCCTTCCTGATAGTCGCGCCCATCTCGTACTTCAAGGTGCTGGGAGTCCAAGACACGATTCGATGGACTGACATTGCGGTCCTGTACGCGTTCCTGGCTGGAGCTATTATCTGTCTGTCCATGTCAGCCAGCTTCCATACCTTCAGCTGCCACTCTGAAAAGGTAAATCTCTCTTTGATCCGAAAGCATTGTAATTCCCTCTTTTTATTCTAGAGACCTGACTACTCACCCGTTTATTTGTGCATCATTTCTAGGTTTGCTCACAATGGATTCGATGCGACTACCTGGGCATTGTCTTTCTAATTGTTGGCTCGTATTACCCTGCGATCTTCTACGGATTCTACTGTCATCAGACATGGCAGATCTTGTACATCTCTGTGATCTCGACCTTGGGCGCTTTGACGATCGTGGCAGTGATGAGGCCTAAATTCCGCTCGCCTCAATTCCGCTGGGTGCGCTCGGCTCTGTTCCTGGCAGTGGGCCTTTCGGGTTTATGTCCCATCATCCATGGCATCATTCTCTATGGGGTATGTTGCATGTATACTGGTGAATCAGTGCACCAAAAAAAAAAAAAAAAAAAAAAAAAAAAGTCGAGTTACACGGGCTTTTGAATGACAATTGGTGTGCCTGATCTAGTTTTAACGCCTAATTTTCTTTTCCCTTCACATACTTAGTTCGCTATGGCGCAACACGCGATTGCATTGAACTACATGTTCTGCATGGGCGCTGCGTACGTATTCGGAGCATTGATCTATGGCAGTCGTACACCAGAGTGCTTCTTCCCCGGGAAATTTGACAACTTTGTAAGTCGTACATGGTTCCCCAAGCGTCAAGGGAACTCTTCAGGGACGAAGGGGACGTGGAAACTAATCGAACGCGTTCTTTGTTATGATTGTAGATGGCGTCACACCAAATTTTCCACGTTTGCGTCCTGATCGGCTGCGTTGTCCACTTCCTGGGTGTTATTAAGGCCATGACCTTTTGGCATACGACAGACCACAGCTGCGCCATTCCTCTGGACCAAATGAAAGCTATGTTTGTGAACTAGGCTGCTTTTTTCCTTGTTACTAGAGGATCCAGAAAGAGCAGATGGAGTCTAGAGATGAGGAGTGGAGCAGATGGCCGTTCTTGTTTTTATATTTGTACCCCACATAGCTTTTATTCCGCGTTCTTACGCTTTAGTTATTGTGCTCCGTCATTCTGTTTCCGGTTCCCTGCATGGTCTCCCTTGTATTCATTTGTTTACCCCTCTTGTACTATTATCATCCTGTCACTAATAAAGTGGATCCATTTGTCATGTAGTTATGGATGAGCCGAACCGTTTGCACTCGTGAAAAGGTAGGATAATCCAGGGTCGAGTGTAAGGTGCCTCAAGGGATATTTACTGTCGGTAGAGATATGATATTAGCGCTGTTCTCTACTCAATCTATCGCATCTTTTGGGTTGTCCTCAAGGACTACGACTGATCCTTAATATGACGTCGCCTACGGTTGGTCATGGAACGCGTAATCTTCTATGTACAAGTTATTCAAGGATCAAATGGCCTCCATCTACTTCATAATGTGGTCTCATCGTACCTCAATAAAAGCGATTTGAATCAACACCTTTTTTTCCTGCCTTGAACCCTTTCCTTCCTGGGAGATGTTCACCAATTAGGAATCCTCTCTTACTAAATCAATATACATTGGGTTGAAAAGATTGAAGGTCGGGTCTTGCAAAAATATTGTGCTGAGTATCCCCCTGGAGTCCCAACCTTGCGACCTCAACCTTGCACGTCGTGACCACAGGAAGCGGAGTAAACAAACATGGCTGCTGGACTTTGCCGTTGTTAATAGATGAGGTCCCATGGTGTTCAGGCGTCGGGGCTTGAATTACTCATGCATGCAAAAGCGAGAGTGCAAGGTTGTTTGCTAGCTATCTTTAGGTACTTTCGGCCGGCTGCCAGTTCAGTCCACGGTCGGGACAATGTGCATGCAAGCGCGAGAACCCAATTCGCAATTGCACCTTCTCATTTCTTTAGTCAAGCATGGATGCAAAACGGCCGAAGGAAAGGAAGACACAAATATTTGATTGGTTAAATACGTTGCTGTGCACAGCATCGAAACTCATGTGGCGCCATGTAAAGCGGTGATGATGAGTTAAACAGAGCTTGTGTATTAAACAACCAAGAGAGAGGTGGTGGAGGGTGGACGGAAGGTAAGCCCTAAGCGACATGTCCGGCTCTGGTCTGTTTCATTAGTTGCCCATAGGTACCAGCAATGGTTTCCACTGGGTTTTAGGTTTTTGATGGATATAATGTGATGCTACGCTCATCCTCCTCGTAGTGATTCTTGTTCCTTTTAAGCGCACGGTGTGTCTGTTTTGTCAATGGAAGCACACAGCCTAAACTTTTACTGTTCCTGGAAGAGATTGTCATTCACGACACCTGCACAGGAACGAGATCTGCACAGGAACGAGATCTGCACAGGAGCGAGATCTGCACAGGAACAAGTCCTGCAGCCCACGGCAAGCTCTCTATCACATTGCGCTACGTTTTTTTGCTCGCTTTCTACTTCTCTGCAGCACGGTTCAAGAACTATATCTGTAGTGTGTGCCTTTATATTCTCCAGGAAAATAAAGAAAGGAAAAGAACGAAAAAAAGGCTGGCTGCAGGGCCGCTCGTAAGGCGCTTTAAAGATTTGCATATGTATTTGGTGCAATATTGATGGCATAAATTATAGGTACTATTCTCTGTCCAGCTGTGTTTTCTCGGTCATGTTTGAAGGTAAAAGTTGACACGCCTTATACTGCTTACTATAATGCCTCCCGTTTACGTTTGGTCATGAAATGCGTAAATTTCCCTGTGAAGATCATCTAAGGATTGAATGGCTTCCATCCATTTCATGATATGTGGTCTCATGGTATCCACGATCGCATCAGCGGCTTCCTTGACCTGCTCACCCGGATGGCGGTCAAAGCAAAAGTACTCGACGTGTGTTTTTGTGGTGGATCTACAATTCTGATCTTCTTGATGGTAGGACCAGATTTCATGCAGGATCTTCTCGAGTAAGAAAACGAAGTTCAATGGATTCTGCGTGGACGGAAATATTTCCAAGCGGTCTCGTTCTAGCCCACAGCACAATAACTTGTCTTGAAAACGGTATGAGGGGTCTGAAGTCCAGCCGACCTTAATGGAAACTTGAGCAGGAACCATAAAAAAGATCCGTTTAACAACAAGAACGGAAACAAGCAGGAGAAATTAGCAATAGGAACCCAAAGGAGCGTATACTGTCCTTACATCGCGTCAAACTTACGCCGAGATTCCTCTTCCTGGGCAATGGGCACCATGATATATACATAACCGCTGCCATGGTGTTCATCCAGAGTTTTCTTAAATGCTTCAATCGAATCGTGAGTGCTGCATAAGTCCCGCTCCATGTCTGCTGTTGTCATGCGTAAGGTCTCGAAGTACTTTTCAATGGCTTTGCGGATACCGACCTTGACCGCGGGCCCATAGCCACTTGTTAACGCTGTTGAAGAGTTTGATTGTATAGCCGCATTTTTTTCTTTGCGTTAGAATTATTCAACAGGAAGAACAGTCAATGTGTTGTTCGCAACATAAAAGAAAGTGTAGGACTTTACCGTCAAATTTCCATCCGGCAAAGACAAGTCGCCGCACTTTTTGAATTTCATCCTTTCGGCCTGTTCGAATTAATACTTCCAGGTTATCCGAAGGCTTCTCTCGGATTCGATCCAACTTGTACGGGTGGCTCGTCCTGATTTGCCCATGACGCACCCGGAAGATCCGGCCTCTACATCGATTACGATGTGATTCGCACAGGAATGTGCGTCTGTCCTGATCCGGACACAACGCCTTGTACTCTTGCTTCGTGCACAGCTCGCCGGTTTTGCGTTTAATTGCAATGCATCGTAAACGGTCGGGATCCTTGCCCAGTAGGCCCTTAGGAAAGTGCCGAGTGCAATAATAATCTTTATCGTCGGGAACAACCAGCTCTAGAGGGCTCGTGTTACGGCATTTGGACTTGCCAGTATAGACACATTCTCGCCGCGTAGCCTTTTGGCCTGCGTGGGTTCTCCCGTAGTCTACGGTGAAATGCTGATGTACTTGCGGTAATAGTGCAACTTCTGTAGACCAAAAAAAAAAAAAAAAAAAAAAAAAAAAAAAAAAAAAAAAAAAAAAGTGCTGAGATTACTGTAACATCTTTTCTTCATAAATATAGCTCAGAACCAAGGTCTAAAGTTGCGTCTCATCTCAAACATCAAATATTTACCTTCCTGCAAAAAATGGGAGTTTTCGTTCGCAGACGCGTCGTCGGACAAACGAGGGATATTACCCGTACCAAATGCAGCATTTTTTTCTATGGCCAATATAGCATCCTCCTCTAATGGTAGTAAGTCCAGAGATGCCATTTTAGGTTAGTGAGTTATTTTGGAACGATAAAGAAAGAGAGGGTGGTCGAAGGCCTGGATGCAGTTGTGAGGAAAGAGACGGTTGCAAAAATTGATGAATTGCAAGTTCGTCGCTTCTTTTATGTAAATATTGCTCAAAAATGGGCTTCAGCCTCGTAACCAGAACGGCCAATTAAACAACCAGGATTGTTGAACTTCGCCAGTTCCGATCGATAAATCCTATGGCGTCGAGACGGGTAAAGGAAGCTCTTTTTGCATGCATGCTACAAATCTGCTTCCACTTCTGCACCTCACCATTTTTGTTGTGCCGAACGTAAAGACGAAGCATTTATTCTCAGTGTTGGAATGTTGTAAACAAACGATCAAACGGTGGGGTGACACACTTGCTTGGCTAATCATAGCTGTGTGCAACCTCGAGGTTCTTGCATCGCCCTGAACAGTAGGGGCATGACTTGACAGCAGCACAGCATAATCATTCAGAACGTATATAGAATAAACAAGCAAATCAGAGAGACGAAGTGGCGAATTGATATATGAAAATTTTCGACAGCGTCCAGCTTCGGGTCTATTCATTTTAGTCGCCCATGAAGACTGGTCAAGGATAAATCGGTTTTTGCTCATCTACATGTCTTGGAAGAAATAAATATGATTGTAAGTTACGCTCTTTGCGCCATGGCCAGCGCTCTTTGTTCTGCTTCTTAAAGGCGCACAATTGACAACTGAAGCAATGGCGCAGTTTTGTACATGATATGTACAGCCCAAAATTTTACGTAAAGTACGAGATTGTCATTCCCCAGACATGTTCAGGAGCCCTACAGCCCACAGACATGTCAACCACAGCTCTCCACCACATAGCTGGCTTATTTTCTATCGCTTTGCATCGCGATTCGAGAACCATGTTCATGGCGATTAAATCCTCGCATTCTTTCTGAGACAGAGTGTGAAAGAATGCTGCATGCGGGGCACAAAAAAGTAAGCAATTAAAAAAAAAAAGCTAGACCTAATCCTCAAGAAGAAACGACGCAACGGCTGTCGAGTTGCTTGTTCAGACATTGTTTTTATTATCGAGCCCCCTAAAAAGCGAACACAAGGGCTATAGCCACCATGCATTCCTTGATAAATTCAGTAACAACGAAGATTTAACACAATGTACGCTGTTATGGCGTTCACGGCTGAGATTTCTATCTTGTATTCCATTGAATACAGAGGCTGATTACAAAATAACAATAAAAGCCGAGAACAGCAATAGCAAGCAGCGAGACGGAATATTTAGATAAAATGACTCTGCTTAAACTCGACCGAGCAGAAATCGTTCGGCTTATTCTCGCCCTCTGGAAGTTTTAACTCGACTATAAGAAATGCCTTGCCGTTCTTGGATATTGGAAGCCTGGTCGCCTCCCCTTTGTCCTCTGAGTCTCGTAGACGATGCTTGGGAGCTTCAAAATGTTCGATAGCAGTGGCATTTGAAGATGGTCGTAAAAATTTCGTGGACGGGTGTTAAAAAATATGTTCTCGGCGGCCCCCTGAAGGCGAAGTATGTTGCAGAGATATCATACCAACTAGAAGCCACAGCCAGGTCCTGTTTTATTTTGTTGCAGAAGAGCATGTTCTTGTCCAGGTCTCATATATCTATTCTATATAGATGCGCTCAAGGTTCGGTATGAGATGCCAGATACCATCGATTGAAGAAATAACATTAGACCGGACGATCCTTGCAACACCTTTCATCTCCCGCTCCTCGACCGGTCACATACACATCGTGCAAGTATCAAAATGATAACCATGACACGCTTGGTCACCTTTGCGGTTGCCTGCTGCCTCATCTCGCCAGGACTGCACATTTTTTTTTGTCTGTTGAGGGATGCAATCCTTGTCGGCTCCAGATGGGCTCAGCCGAGAGCGGACTATCAAATAGGCATGCTTACAGTTCGCAGGGTGAATCTCTGTCTCCAAAAGTGTGAGCGGGGATAGCGCAGGGATACGACATGGGGCAATACGGTGCATGTGGTTAGATGCATGGGTCCACCTGTTCGACAGAATAAAGTGACAGGCTGTAAAGGCATAAAGCTCTGCAGCTTGACCTAGTTCCAGCGCTGACACTGCCTTGGAAATGAATGTTGATGTGCGTCCGAGTGCAGACTATCGAGCCCTCTCAGTAACGCTTCATTTATATTTGTCGATCCAGGTTATGGCGCTGCTGAATTTTGAACTGTCGGGGGAAAGTAGTCTAAGCGGATCGTAATTCCTGTTCAATATCAATTGTCAATGGGGCACAGGGCATGGTGGGCAATAGGTCCATCAGATGGTGACGGCATCGTAGGCCGATTGTTTACCGACGTGATGAGGAGACAGCAGGGTCGTTTGCGGTTTGCATGTGTTAATGAGCGTTACATATTAATCTAGAGTAGCCCGATGTCCATTTGTATGCGACTAGACAAAAACGTGGTTGAGAGTCTCATGAGTAGGGTGTGATGTGGTACGATGGAATACAAACAAACAAACGGTGGCACAATAAACAGGGATGGCCCCTGACCAACACAGCTGCACTAGCGAACTATTCCCAAGACGCGCGCAGACTCGATATTCTGAATATCTCGTGGTCTGGCGAGCGTTGGTTGTTCGGGTGAGAAGCGCGTCTTGTCGTGTGAGTGAACATCCGCATCTCCGCACTCAGCATCGGATTGAGGGCGGTGCTGCTGTCCTCCCTTGACAGTAACTCCGGCTCGCTCGAAAACCTTGTTGCTCCCATATCACTTCGCCTCCACTTCTCCATTCGCGGCCTGTCGCGCTTTTAATCGGCTCCATTCGTGTGCAATATGCCGCCTCTTTCCACAGTCTGCAGATGCAGGTTAGCTCTCCACAGGCGGAGAAAGACTGCATTCAGATGTTTGCCTTCGGCTCGAGGAAGGGCAGCAGGCTGGCCTGACCAGCAATTCCAATCTCAGCCCTGAGCAACTCGTGCCAAACAGGTGCTTGACCGGTCGAACAAGTGCTCCTTCTCACCTTGAATGCAATAAACCTTTTCAGCGAAATACTTTTGAGGCTCTCATCCTATCCCAGCACTACCGCTGGGCTTTAAAAGCTATCCATCGTCAATTGGGTTGCGCAAGCCGGCGAGCATATGAGAAAGAACCAAAAGCAGCAAGCGGAACTCGGTGCCAGTCTATTGGCCCTAGAGGTCCTACCGTCGCCAGAAGTGGGGTTTTGTTCCGCACATTTGTTCTTTGCTGTCGGATCAGCAAGAGTTATTCTCTCTTGGGGTTGGATATAAACTGCCAAAGTTACTACTCTAGTCCATGCTCTGCGGATTTCTCTTGTTGTATTTTCTTTTGTTGCTTGATCTTGACCGACTATTCTTCTCTTTCGCCCATTCCCTAACCCTCTCCCCATTACCCGTTTACGTCGATCCCTCCTCCTGCTATCTCTGGACCCCACTCCCTCCGAACACCTCTCATACGCTCTGAACATACTATTCACGTCCTTCCGTAGATCTTCACGACCACCTTACATACCGTACTGCCTCTGATCCCAAGGCTTAACAGACAACGATCTATTTACATTCTTTTACGCAATATCATACTTCACCCGTAATGTTCTCTACATCAAACGAGAAACTCACAGAAAAGAAACACCGTCTCGATGACAGCAAGACCTCCAGCAATGAGGATCTGCCCTACTCTTCTGAGGAGACCGAGTACATGGACGAGAAGGATGACTTTGATGTGTATGACGAGGAGTACGGCCATACCGCTGAGAAGCGCATACGGTTCTACCAGTCCAAACGGTTCTGGATCAGCTGCATTGTCATCCTTGTCGTCATCCTTGTAATCTTCATCCCTCTGCTCCTCTTTGTCATCCTGCCCAAGCTGGTACAGACCATCGTCAATCACTCGACTATGTCAATGACCCAGCTGAATATGACCGACGCCACGGAGACCGGCATGAAGGTCTCACTCTCCGGAGGGATCGCTAATGCCGGCATCTTTCCAGCAACTATTAACTTTCCTGAGCCAATTATCGTCTCATGGAAGGGCAAGCAGCTCGGAAGCATGAGCATGGCCAGCGTGAAGGCCTCTGGCGGTAAGGCTGCTATTGTTGACGCGACAGCATTCACCATTATCGATAAGGATGCCTTTGCCAGGTTTGCCAAGGAAATGGTAGGTTGCGTATTGAGTAGTGCCAGGATATTACTAAGTTGAGATATCTAAATTATTTTGACTCAATACCTGTTTTTGATTATATCTTTACAGCTGACAATCGACAGCTTCACCTGGACCTTGACCTCTACTGTTCAGGTCCAGGCCATTGGCCGCACCATCAAGGATGTCAATCTTATCAAGGACCTCAATATGCTTGGCATGGGCGGTTTCGGCAAAGTCACCATCGACAGCTTCACTATGCCCGGTGATGCTCCCAACAACGCTGGTGCGTATGTCCGTTTAGTGACATCTATGAACAACCCCTCGCCTGTTGGTATGGTCCTCGGCACCATGGTCCTCGACATGTTTTACCAGAACACATATCTCGGCCAGGTCACTGCCAAGAATGCTACACTCATCGGTAACTCGCCCTCGCCCCTGACACTTGAGGGCCTTCTCTTCCACCAGACCAACCAGACTGATCTCGACAATGTCTCGACTTTGATGTCCAACTTTTTGGCCGAAAAGGTCGCCATGACCACTGCTAAGGGTGTCTCTGTCAAGCCTGATGGTGTCAACGACGTCTCCTGGTTAAGCAATGGACTCCTGTCCCTCACTCTCAACGTGCCCCTCCAGTCGCCCACTCCGTTGAATGTCATTCACGACATCAGCATCATGGATATGGGAATGATCTTCAACCAGTCCAGCCCCTACGTCCCGACCGCAAGCTCCAACACTGTTACGGCTGGATTCAAGTTACCCTTCAATATCACCGTTGCCATGCTGAACGTTAGTAACACTATGTCAATCGTCTACAAGGGCAAGGTTCTTGGCGATATCGACACTGCTGTTTGGAACCAGGCCAAATCCGATGTCCCCAACGGTCTTATTGTGTTCAGCTTGCCATCTTCTCCTCTTGTTGTCAAGGAGGACGCCAAGGAGGAGTTCAACCAGTTCGTGTCCGATCTTACTATTAACTCGGAGCAGACCTTCCTTGTCACCGGTATCGCCAATGCCATCTCGACCACGCCTGTGGGAACCGTCAAGCTCACTGGCATCCCCTTCAACTCGAATGTGACAATGAAGAGCCTCAATTTTAACGCCATCGATGCTGCTGTTACCAACGTGATCGTCAGCAACGGCACCGCCGATCACATCACCATGAACCAGTTCGTTGCCCTTCCTAACCCTTCGTCTCTGAGTGTCACTGGCGGCAGCGTTACTTTGACCGTCTACGACAAGACTACGGATCAGTATCTCGGAGAACTCTTCATCCCCACCTTGAAGGTTGTTCCCGGCCCCAATCCCACTGCCACTCAATTCTTATTCCATCCCAAGAATGAGACCCTCCGTGATCAATTCCTGAGCGAGTATCTTACAGGCGCTATATTCCCGCTCAAGGTCGCTGGTTCAAAGGACTCGACTGAGATTGTCGAGCTGCAGACCGCTATGTCCCACGTCACCATCTCGTCCTCGGCCCCTGGTCTCACACCCCCACCCAGACTAGTTACCTCCGGAACTGCTGTCTCAAATTTGAACACATTGCTGGGCAACCGCCAGACGACGACCATAGTCAGTATGATCAATCCCTTGGCCGCAGACCTGTACGTCAGTGGCCAGACAACCCAGATCTCATGGAAGGGCAACTTTTTTGGCACCATCACAGCCAAGTATGAACAGATTGTCCCCAGCAACGGTGCCGCCTCGACACCCCCTCTGATCCTGCAGCATCCCTCTGGATTCCAGTTTGGTCTCTTCTTAACCACGCAATTTGTGCCCACGTACCCATTGATTGCTCTCGGCGGCGAAATGGTTCCATTTGACCTCGATGTGATGATGGATGTTCGTGTCGGTGGACCCAACGGCTACCCTGCAACCATCCACTATGTGCAGCAGCAGGAGATTCTTACAAAGATGAACATCCTCTAAAATTCTAGTGCTAAGGGTGTGTACTGTGTTGCATACTTATATTGTGAGTGGATGCATATTAATAAAGTGGAGGTTCACCTCGACGACAGAAATAATGATAAAGGAATCTATGATGGCACAAAGGTTCAGAGTCTTGGGGCCAAAATGTTGGTGCCTTTCAGGAGTCCAGGAACATGGGGGCTGTGCTCCGGTTTCAAAATCGTGACACGTTTCCTTCTAAGCCGCGTTTAGTAAACATAGAAAAAAAAAAAAAAAGGCGGACAGGCAGGCAGCACTCCTCATTGCATTATACACCTTTGGTTCCATTCATTTCCTTTCTTTCATTTTTCCCTCCACCACAAGCAGGAACCGAAATATTCACCATGGACGGAGGAGGCCTTGTATTAAACGTCGTCGCCACAGGAGATTCTGCGCCCGCAAGGCTTTCAAAACCAAAGGGAGGTCGCTGGAAGGATAGGGTCAAGGTCGTTAAGTCAGTCAAGAGGCGATTACAAAATTCAGGACGAGCCAGCACCTCCACCACCTTATCGACATATTCTACAGCACCTACAGAATCACCAATACTTTCATCCTCATCAGTTAGGGAACGGTCCCACGCTCGCCCTCATAATGATTTTGACGACCATATGATTGGCGATACTACACTGTCCAAAGAGGCTAAGCTGATGCACGGCAAGTCTCAGGTTCAGTCGTCCATCTTTTCGCCCGATACCGAGATCATCCCTAAGGTAATGCTTGCTTCGAATCGCATGAGCTTGCGCTGATGACCGTGATAAATTGTCCAGGATCTAACGTGATCGACAATGACTGTAGGTGAAAACGATCCAACGTCCGGTCGGCAAACCCAGCAATGCTCCGCTCAATACTTCAACCTTCACTGGAATCGGACTGGATGAAGATCTTGCCAAACACATGGAGACGAAACTCAATGTCAGCATGCCAACAACAATCCAGCAAAAGGCCATCCCTGTTTTACTTGGACCCACGCGCAAGGTTGGCGACAATGTACCCAAGACAGATACGGACGTGATTATCCAAGCAGAGACAGGATCGGGGAAAACTTTGACATATCTGCTACCAATTGTCAACCGCCTGATTGAGTCTGAGGCATCGCCGGCTCTCGATCTAGAATCCAAGCGGTCTATCGGAACCCTCGCCATCATCATGACACCGACCCGTGAACTGGCAAAGCAGATTCTTCAGGTCCTGGAGACTCTATTGCAGATGCCTGCCTCTTCAGTTACAGGAAAGAAGCGCTCGCACTGGATCGTTCCAGGAATTGTCATCGGAGGCGACAAAAAGAAATCAGAGAAGGCTAGGCTTCGTAAGGGCGTCAACATTCTCGTCGGTACTCCCGGACGTCTCTTGGATCACTTGCAGAACACAAAGTCATTTAACGTGCAGAGTCTACGGTGGTTGATTCTTGATGAGGCTGATCGACTACTGGAACTGGGTTTCGAGGAATCAATGACCGCTATCTTGAAGATTCTAGATGCCAGGGTGAAGATCGCAGCTTCGGTTACGAGTTCAAATGACACGACTAAGATCTGGCCACAGACGCGACAGACGGTTCTTTGCTCCGCTACGCTATCAGATGATGTCCAGCGCCTTGCCGGTACTTCCCTCGTCGACCCAATCTACATCAGCGCTAAGAAAGACGTCGCCAACGCCAAAGGCATTCCCGGATCGAGACTAGACGTAACAGAAACAAAGCAGGCACAACAATTCGCTACACCAGAACAACTCAAACAACTCTATGTCATTACTCAGGCGAAACTTCGGCTGGTGACACTGACAGCCATGCTCAAAAGCGCATTCGCAGGCAAGATTAAGGGCGCTAAGGCACCAAAGATGGTCGTCTTTTTGTCATCATGCGACTCTGTTGATTTTCACCACGGACTCTTTGCAAACGCTGGCAAGGAGACCAAGAGAGAAGTTACACAGGATGGGTACTTTGGTCAGGGCTTTGAGGACGGCGATGACGATGAAAAGAGGGACGAGATACCCGATTTCGTGTCAGCCTCCAATCGAATCGATGCCAGGGCGAGCAAGGACGAGATGTATAAGGCGAAGCGCGAGGAAGAGAGGGCGAATGCTAAGAAGGCAAGGGCGCAGTTATCTTTGACGGGAGCCATCTTACCAGACGTACCTTTGTTCCGATTGCACGGCAACCTGGCCCAGGCTCTGAGAACCGACACCTATTTTGAGTTCTGTAAGGCATCTAGTGGAGTTCTCTTCGCAACGGACGTGGCAGCGCGCGGATTGGATTTGCCCGATGTTAGTCATATTATTCAATACGATCCGCCCTCGGATCTCAAGGATTATGTGCATCGCGTGGGTCGAACAGCCCGTCTTGGACGCGATGGCGAGGCTGTGTTGTTCCTTTTGCCCAGCGAAGTTAAATACCTGGAGTTGTTGACAGCGCAGGGCCTTCCTAACCAGGAAGTATCTGTGACAAGCATCCTGATGAAGCTGGCACCATCCAAGTCAACCGAGTACCAACAGCCTGCGACGGACATTCAAAACAGTTTTGAGCGGTACAATCTGCATTCTCCCGAGGTAAACAAGCGTAGTCGTTGGATACAGCCCAATAGGATGCACTGTTTTTTTGTTTTTTTTTGTTTGTTCTTGTCCTACCAAGGGAAACGTCCCTACTAGAGACTAGATCGCCACTAACACTTTTTATTTTATATTTTTACTGACAGAATATGGCAATTGCTCGCGGAGCTTTCTGGGCATTTGTCAAGTCATACGCGACACATCCTTCGTCCGAGAAGCATATCTTTCACATCAAGAATCTGCATTTGGGTCACATCGCCAAGAGCTTTGCACTGCGTGAAGCACCATCGGATATTCCACAGCCCAAAAAGAAGAAGGGAGCCGCTGTGCGTCCGGGCGGCAAGAGCGAGGAGGTGGACGAGACAAGGGCCAACCGCAAATCCCAGAAGGAACGTGAAAAGGAAGAGCGCACTAAACCCAGGATTGTCCTTAAGCGCAAGAACGACGTGAGCGAGTTTGCTGTGGGTGACTACAAGTCGTTGGTGGGCCCAATGTTGAAGCGCAAGAAGACTAAGAAGTAAACAATAGTGTTTTATGCTAAAGAAAAAGTAAAAGAAAAACAAACCCCGTTTCTTAATAACGTGTGGATCGGTGAAGGTTGGGTTGATAAAGGCCAGCTAGGGCTCCAGGGCTTGATAGTTCAAGAAAAGAGGGCGGAGAAAGTAAGGTACCCGTGAGCGGGAAAGAAAAAGTCGAGCACGTTGCGGCGAGATCCCGATCAGCACTTGTTAGCATCGTCGGTGACTTGGTGCGCTTCTATTCTCCTGCGATTCGACATTCCCATCAGCATACGGCAAGTGCATCAGGATCCCAAGGTGGCGCCTCAAGGAACAGCATCAACAGTGTCGGCACGCCTTTGTTGAAACGAAGCAGGATAGAGAGTAGCAGCGGGTGTGAAAGAGAGCGTGCGCGCCGAACCCACCCATCCGGGCACCATAGTATCCAACCCCTCCATCGCAGGACAGCGCGCATGCACTCGACGTTTATCCACATCTCCGAGCCCTACGAGCATGTCAACGTCGACGACAACCACTCCATCACTCAGCGACACCATCTGCTATTATCAATGAACAACCGCGACGACGACGACAATGAACACTCCTACGAGATCGGGCACCCACACCTGAACAAAGAGCGATCAGGACCTGCCCACGGCTATAGCAACAGCCCTCCCCACCAACCCATGCTCGACAATCAGAGTGAGCGCAATGGACACTGCCTTAGCGAAGGGTTTCCAGACTTGGACCTAGACCTGGACGGGCACCAGCAGGATCTGGACCTGCAGCAGGGAGAGTCCCAGTCGTCTCGAACAAAGCTTCAGTCACTAAACACTCAAGTACATCAGCAGCCTAGTCAACTCAGCAGGGATCAACAATACCAGGATGGTGCCAATGGTACGATACAGCCGCAGCTTCCGCGCCGGTCTGAAAGGCTTCGATACAGTAATGGTTTCAATCAGCAGGGATCTCCTATCCGCCACAATCAGCACGAGAAAAAACCCAGCCTGCCGACGAAACGATTATCAGCAACGATCCTCTCCAGCAGCTCATCACCCACCGCCACCAGTTCGCCATCTTCAGGCACGCCAGTGACGCCAACATCCCCTTCACAATACTCACTGCCATACAGCCATACCAACCATCGATTCACCGACAAGGGGCAGAATGTCGCTGTGTCAAATAAACGCGCTTTCACATCATCACATACCAGCGGAAGGTCGAGGACACGGAGTAAATCGCATCCAGAGCTGCCTAACATACCACTTGCCAGGGCCTGCCAATCCTCCTCCTTTGGTTGCTCGTATTCAATGGCGGTCATGTTCCTGATGTCACTCACACTCCTTGGATGCATCTTTCACTCTAATTTTTACCGCCAAGTGGACCCTAACGGCTGTCTTTACACCTACATGCAACCAAAATACTTCAAACTATTGGGGTTCGATCGGGAGCGGACAGCATTTGCAGGGAAGTACGGCCTCCTGCTCTTTCGGGACCAGTACGACTATAAACTGCAAGTACCGTCCAGCATGCTGACAGAATATTCTAACTCTGTCTATACCGTCGACAAGGAAGCCAAGGTAAGTTGCATATTTCGCTCAGTAGTAGATCGCTTAATACATGGTTGTCTTTAAGTGCCTTACCCATGGAGCGGAGCAATTGGGCCTTCAATTAATCCCGCCCTATCCGTATTATCAATGTAGATCCAGCCATTGGGCATTCCGGCCTTGTTCATCCCAGGAAACGCTGGAAGTGCAAAGCAGATGCGATCAATTGCAAAGGAGGCATCAAAGTACTACTACGAGAACCTGGCAGAAGGGCAGCGCGCATCATCAAGACCAATAGATTTCTTTACCCGTACGACCTATTCTTGAACTGCTGCATTTGTTCTGAGCACTGTTTACGATCGACATGTGCTGATCCTCCTCCTTTTTTTTTTTTTTTACACTTGCGTAATAGTCGACTTCAACGAGGAGTTTTCAGCGCTGCACGGACATTCATTACTGGAACAGGCCGAGTTTTTGAACGACGCCATCGCATACATTCTATCACTTTACGATGACGATCGCCACTCGGATCCCAGTTTACCGCGCCCTACAGCTGTACTACTTGTCGGCCATAGTATGGGAGGAGTTGTCGCACGGTCGCTCTTCACAATGAGCAACTATCGGCCAGGATCAGTCAACACAATCCTCACGGCGGCGACACCGCATATCATGCCGCCCGTAACACTCGATTTTGAGATTAGCAACATTTATGAAAGAATTGAATCGTTCTGGAGCCATGGATTTCAAGGACCAGATGCGCCACTGAGAGATATGTCTCTGGTCTCGATTGCGGGTGGCAACCTCGATATTATTGTCAATGGCGAATCAGGCAACATTCACAATATCGTACCCCAATCTCACGGCTTCACGGTGTTCACGTCGTCGATACCTCATGCCTGGGTAGGATCAGATCATGTGTCGATTCTTTGGTGTAATCAGATTGCAACAGTTCTCGGAAAGACCCTGATTGACGTTGTAGACGCAAGTTACCCAGCGCAAGTCAAGCCATTGGAGGAGCGCATGCGGATTTTCAGGAACCGACTTTTAACGGGAATTAACGATCATTTGCAGGACCCTTCATCTTCACAAGGTCCGATGATAACTCCATCCATATGAAGCGCTGCAGGCATCAAGCTGACTTCTCCTAGATCGCATTGAGATCTAACCAGTGGTTCCTACATTTTTCCATTCAATATCTAGGCGAAGAGGTCATTACAATTTCTGATATCGCGCATACCATGATTGAGCTGGGCAGTCGTCTGACGTATCCCCACAAAGGCAGCACAACGCAGGATGTTGACACAGACGTTCCACACCTGTATATTATGCCAATACCACGCAGCAATGAAGCTGACACTTTCAATCTTCTCACCGATCACCAGCTCGGAGAGTACAGTCGTCTTGATGTGCTTCTCTGCAGCGACATCCTTTCGAGTTCCAGGGCGACTTCAATGACTCCCTCTCGGCTATCATGTCAGTACAGCACGCTATCTGCAATACCAGTGCCCGCCTCGACAGCGGGTTCGTTCTCTGCAGTACAATCTGGAAAATACAACCGTGGACATGAATTCCGGTTCATTTCTAAAAAGCTGACTGAATTGGAAGACGTGCAGTACGTGGCGATCTTGGACAGGGGCCGGAAGTTTGGCGAGCCCGGATTCTTGATCACAGAGTTTGCGTCCGAGGCCGACTTCACCACAACGGTGGAGACAACCACCCTTGGTAAGCATCAGCTTAGTACCTTTGGGCCAATGGATTCGCAAATCATTAGAGGGAAAAACTAACCATACTCGATTATCCACTCTATAGGGCTTGTGAATGATGGATTACGAGTTCATGGCTTCCCAGAACTACCATCGTTGGTCTCAACACTTCGGTTACCCAATATCGACAACAGTCTGCTGACTTATACCCTAACTGTTGACCGACCAGGCTGTCATGGTAAGTGACTAACGCAAGACGAACTTCATCCCGTCTTCCATATCTCAAATTTACTGTCTCACACTTGTGTTCCTTTACATTTTATCTAATTCTAGAGCGGTTCGCACCTATGCTGCGACAGTCTAGCTGGACGATGTATGAGGATCGGTTCTCAGTCGACATTACTTCTAGGGAAGCAGGAGTCGACATTAATTTTCACGGCGATCTCCCATACTTCGATCGGATCCAGTTGCCAGGGAAGAAGGGCATTGAACTTCGATTCTGGATGGACCCGACTTGTCCTGTTCCTTTGTCGCTCAACTTGCAGGTAGACAAGTATGGCAGCATGGGCAAGGTCGTAATCCGGTACCGAATGGTCGTCTTGGTGTTCACGTTCCTGGTGGTCATCTTGACGTTACGGGCGCAGTTCAAGGAATTCAACAGAGGCGAGCCATTCAAACCGTTCGGCATGATGATTTCTCAGCTCATTCTGTCGACACTTTGGAAGTTTTCGGTGCTTTTGGCCGCCATCGCGCTTCTTCAATCGCTACAGACAAGGACTGCCTTCGTGTTCGAACACTCCAGCTCATCAAGAAAATCAGAGTCCAGCTCTGACGCTGCGGAGGAAATTATTCGGGGGCCAGCAGGGACCAGGAGTACGAGCCAAGATGCGTACGATCAAATGATCCATGCAAGAATCGCAAGGAGCGAGTCCTGGTTTTCGAGCTTTCGGTTTGGGGATGCGCTGTTGGGTGGCAATGATACGTTTTTTTGGTTTCTAGCTCCAGTGTTCTTCCAGGTGTCGATTGGGATCGTGATCTTGATCTGGATCATCTTGAACGGACTCGTGAGATCCATCGCATTGGTGCTGACGTTTGTGTCGAAACGCGGAGGGCGATATGTTATCGGAAAGGCCATCGGCAGCATATTGTCCAAGAGGTAAGGCTATTGCGTTATCATTCCAGCGACGCTGACTTATATGAGTGTATATATATATATATACTTAACCACGAACGACTTTTATCTATCTTTTAGGTCCCGCGGCGTGCGGCGGAGAGTGATTACGACAATTATCTTATTTATCATGGTGGCGACATTCGTGCCGTATCAGTTTGCGTTTGTGGTTGCGGTTCTTGTGCATATTGTGTCTTGTGTGCGTTCGCTGCTTATTGCACAAGCATCTGTAAGTCGTCGTCGCAAAATTGCTGCGCACGGTCGTCGTGGATCGATTGGGGCACGCACTAACCTTTTTTATTTATTTCTGATAGAATTCTGCACAGACGCTGGCAGCATGGGACAGATATCATTACTTGATGTCGATATTCGTCCTGTTCTTCTTGTTGCTGCCTTGTAATTTGCCTGTACTTATGGTCTGGATTCGGAATCTCTCTGTGCAATGGTATGAACCCTTTTCGTCCGACCATCGACTGGATTATATCGCACCATTCATCTTTTTCGTCGAAACAGTGACGGATGGCGCCATGGTCCCGAGGACGCCAGAGAAAGGGTAGGTTCATGTTGTTGGGCTGCTCACTTTCCATCGTGCAAGTAACGGTTCTCACTCCTGTCTTCTTTTTTTATTTCTATTTTGTTCGTTTTATCGATCCGCATTAGATATGCGGCAGTGACCAATGGGATCTTGAACTTCATTGTTGTCTTTTTAATCATGTTTGGAGTGCGATACAGTTGGCAGATCTTTTTCATGTCCCGGATCTGGATTGTCTGGCTCTTGGTTCTGCAACTCAAGGATACAGAGCTAGCTCGGAGAGTGACCAAGGCAGTGGAGGATCAAGTGCAGGCGTTCTCTCGGCCAAGCAAGAAGCGGAAATAGAAGAGAAAGAATATTTTATTTGCCTATTTATTTGCCTATTCGCCTAACATATTAAAAGTATTAATCGTAATGCTATCCAGCCATTACATCCGGAAAACGATGGAGGAAGAGAGTTTTTTTGTGGGCGCCATGATCCCTCTGAACGCGTGAGGCTCGTATTCGGAAATCCATTCAAATGTGATTTGGCTTTGCCAACTCAATTTAGAGGTGAAGTGCTTTGAATTTTTTTTTCTTCGCTCACACCACCCACCAACTCGACGTTTGACCATGAGCTCCGTCAAAGTGTAAGCGATCCGATGCGAATGCATGACCTTGACATGTCTAAAGGCTAGACATTGACATTTCGAGTTCCTTTTATTTGCATTGCCTTGGGGGGGGGGTTTTTTATTCTTCTTCATCTCTAGACTCGTCGTTGGCTCGGCCAATGGAGATCTTCGAAACCTGTGTTCAAAGGTCGGGACGATCAACTCGAAGCATGGACCGTTCGATATCATGTTCTGTAGCGGCAACTTTTTCGCAAAGGAGACACCCATAGAGACCATCGATGACCTTTTGGAGAACAAGCTGGACTGTGAGTTTTTTTTTTTTGCGTTTTTTTGTGCTTTGCCTGGGGGAAACCACGGGCGGTTGATTACCATGGGCGACCGATACTGATGGGATAAACTCGGGTTCCTCTAACATTGTCTCGATCTTTTATTGTATCTGCCTCTAATGGTATCTTTCTAGTTCCGATGACGACCTATTTCATTCATGGCGATAATGGAGTCCCAGGAATCATTGAACGTACCGCATTAAGGAAGCAGGGCGAGATCTGTAACAACTTGTTCTATCTCGGTAAGTTATTTTTTTATTTTCCCGATAGTCTCACTGAGAGAAATAATGAAAAAGGACGCCTCACTCACGTTGCAACGCGTACGATATGACAGGAACGCACGGAGTGATGACAACAGCCCAATCCGTTAAGGTCGCCTCCCTGAGCGGGACCTTTGACAGTGCGGTTTATGAAGCCAACATCGAGGACGAAGAATTCGACAAATCCCTCCTCCAAGGTCGGTACCTCAAACCGACCGTTGATGCCCTCATCCAGGCCGTTCAACCGATCTCGATCATGGACACGGCCGCGGCACGCGGCGTCGATATCTTGTTGACCCATGAGTGGCCCGCAGGGATCACCCAACCTGGTGCAGGAGCAACCACGATGACACCACCGGCACCGACGACGGATTTGAGCGCGAGCACGTTTTCGCATGCGGTCGCGACCGTGGCACAGGCAGCACAGCCACGGTATCATTTCGCGGCAATGTCGGGACAGTTCTGGGAACGAGCGCCCTACAAGAACGTGAAGGGGGCGGAACATGCGACAAGGTTTATTGGATTGGGCGAGGTGGGGAATAAGAATAAGCAGAGGTGGTTCTATGCGTTCAATCTGGTGCCGGTCGCGAATGCGAGTGAGGAGGTCTTGAGGAGCTCGAACAATGCGGCGACGACGGAGAGTCCGTTGGCGAGCGTCAAGGAGTTGAAGAGGGGGCGGGATCAGCAGGTAAACATATCGCAAAGAATCGAGAAAATGATTTTTTTTTTCATGACGCTAACGCACTCCTCTTTCCTTTTGAACGTCGACGGCGAAAATCAGGACGACGCGGGCGGATTTTTCTGGGACTCCAAACGTGTCAGGAACGAACCACCGACGGGATACGTCTGCAGACGGTGTAATCAACCAGGACATTTCATCAAGGACTGTACCGCCGAGCGTCAACCTCGTGGGGCGCCTGAAGGATACATCTGCAAGAAATGCAGCCAGCCAGGGCATTTTATTCAGGATTGTCCCCTCATCAAAGAAGAAGTCCCCCGCCTCCCGCCAGGATATGTCTGTAACATCTGCCATAAACCCGGTCACCGTATCACAGATTGTCCTGAGGCAGAATCCCGTCGCCAGTCCGAAAACGGATCATCATCCTCATCAACAGCATTATCAAGGAACGGGGTTCGCCCACCCAGGAAAGAGAAGCCTCAGGCCCCCTGCTGGTTCTGTCTCTCGAATCCGGATGTCGACAAGAACTTGATTGTCTCGATCGGGACAGAGATGTACATGACCATGGCCAAAGGTCAGCTCGCAACAACGGCCTCGTCGCTGATCCCAGGAGGGGGACACCTATTATTGGTCACCATCAATCACTACTCGTCCTTCAGGACCGTCGACGCTGAGGCGCGCAAGGACCTGGAATCAGAGATGAATAAGTACAAGGACGGGCTCGCGAAATTGTTCCGGTCCAAGGGCGCGGCTATGGTGACCTGGGAGTTGAGTATGGGCGGCAGGATGCAGCATGCACATGTGCAAATCATGGCCGTGCCCACGGACAAGGTCCAGGAAATCGAGAACCAGTTTAGGAACAATATCGAAGACTTCTTTTTACCAGATACCAGGGATTCTATACATCAAGACCAAGACCAGGATCAGGAGCAGCAGCAGTCAAAGCCTGTCCCCGCATGGCAGGATCATGCACCGTCTGGGGATGAAGGGTTTTTGAAGATCGAGTTGTCAGACAACAAGATCATGATCTGTCCCATCCCCGAGAGACAGCGAGTCGATTCACAGTTTGGACGGACAGTTCTCGCCAAGGCCTTGGGAATCCCCGATAGGGCCAACTGGAGAGGCTGTGTCAAAGCTCCAGAGGAGGAACGTGAGGACAGCCAGGCCTTCAAGACGACCTTCAAGTCGTACGACTTTACGCTCTAGAGCTCGCCTTGCCTCGTCTCGCTATCAGTTTTGATGGAATAAAATGTTCATGGCTGGTATAACTGTATGTATATTGAGTTTTCTTTTTTTCTTTTTTTCTTCTTTCTTATGTGGTTTGCAACTCCTGCTACCGCTATATGGGTCTTTTCAGGGACATGTTTGAATGGCTGGATCGTTTCTAGGATGGCTGGATTTGCTATGGATCGGTTTGAGTTAGGCATGGCGGGCATTTCTACGATCTGAGCGGGTGCCAAAGGTATTTGTACTGCAAAATCCGATCTCAGAGCAAAAAAAAAAAAAAAAAAAAAAAAGTGAAAGTGGGTGGGCAAAAATGTACAAGCGAAAAAGGAGAAAAGAAAAAAAGCGGTAGTGCATGAAGATATGAAGCCGCATGCATGTCTTCTTCAGGTCGGAACAAATCCAGCATCGCCCTGCCAGACTAAGTTCTGAAACCAGTAGACCACAAGTTCTAAGACCTTGAACCGGTTAGGTCCACCATCCACATCATTCGCTGCCGAATCCTGGAGCGCATCATACGACAGATACCGTCCGTAGCTGAATCCTCCAGGTCCAGCATTGTCGACCAAGAACACAGACGTGATCAGTCCGAGGACATAACCGACGATCGTATACATCGACATTAGTGTCACATTCGCAATCATCCTCTTCGAGTCCTTCTTGCTCATCGCCGTCGTGGACGCTCCTGGCCCTGCTCCTACACTCGATGTGTTTGCGAGGTTGGCGCTAGGGTTCAGCAGGCTCACAACGTCGCTTTGCGAGAGCACACGCGATTCTATGATATCCAAAGAGTAGAGAAAGATAACCGGAAGCATTAGTGCGTGATCGCATATTACCAGAGAGGCTATGACCGCATGTAATTCATATTCATAACGTACGATGAGGCTTGCGTCGACGGGCTCTTTCAGTCTTCTGTAAGTTGGCTAGGGCCACATTCTTTCGAATGATTCCTTCAGCACCAAAGCCGACCGTCTCGATCGGCAACGGTGTCGTCCCTGAGATCTTGAACAAGGTCTCGATCAGCTCCTCTTGCGATCCCAGGTTCTCATTCAGCAGCGTCTCCTTGGCCTCCAATGTCTGTAGCTCCGGCGGCAATGCACAATCCACATCATCCGCCTTGTGCTTAATTACGACCGCTGTAGGATTACTGCCTTCCTCATCCTGATTAGCTGTCGAGCTCGGGGTATATTGTGAAGTGTCCTTGATCTCCTTGTTAAGAGTCGACTCAAGTCCGCTTTCTCGGAATCGCTGACTGAGGTCGCGTAAAGACGATCGTTTCAGCTTCAAGTTGAGTGATGAGCTCTCCTGTAGCAGTCGACGCGCTCGCTCGGAGGCTGTTTGGTAGCAAAGAAGGGGAAAAAAGGATATACCGTTAGGCGACGCTCGTCATGCTTTTCATATGACTGCGCTGTATACTACCAATTCTGCAAAGCAAAAAGGACATACAGGTCGTATCGAAGCGATGCTTGCCATTGCCAAAATCACTGTCCACATCTTCAAACCCTGGCCCAAATTTGGCATCCGCACTAGCGAGCTCAGACATCAAGGACTATAATACAATTAGCGATAGAGCACTAGGTGTAAATTATCCCTTCCCTCCTTCAAAATGCATCAATACCTTTGCCTATTCTTCTTCATGACTTACTTTGCCCTGCATTTCCGTATCGTTGTCGAGAAGCAGGTTGGACCCAGAGGCACCACCTCCCAGGTTTTCAACCTCGTTCTTCAGACTTCCGTTCAGCTCTGTCAGACGAAGTTTCTCGTTATTGGCCAGCTCCAGTTGCCGTGCCATCGTCTCACTTTTGACGACTTCTTGTGCCAGCCTTTCTCTTAGCTCCTCAATTGCTTCTTGATCGGCATTGATCTAATCAAGTTCGCGAAATAAAATAATATAAGCGGTACAGGTTAGCTACCCGCCAAACATTTCGGTCACAGCGTTTGGGATAGCAGGTCAGGGTCGAAACACATACCCTGCGTCGGCCAGCCTCATCTGATAGTAGACGAAAGTTGAGTTGATCCCGTGCCTCCTCAACCTGCTTCAAAGACTCACGCACACGTGTATTCTCTGCTTCCAATTCTTCTTTCTGTTTCTTCAAAGCTGCCGCGGTACTCTTTTGTGTCGAATTGTTCCTCTCACTCTGCTCGATTTGTTGTGTCAGCTACAAGTTGTTATGTTATTACGAAGAACACACCCCAAGAAAAAAAAATGCGTGGTCAATATTCATATGATCATAAAGGGCGCTATGGGCATGCTGTGCGCTCCTTACCTCGGCAATCTGCGATGACTTGAATTGCTCGTTCATCTTGAACTCTGAGATTTCTCGCCTCATCGCCTTTAGGTCCCGTTTCAGGTCCTCGGTTTCCTGCTGGTTCATCATGGCCTCCCTTGCCTGCTCGTTGGCACGTGCCTGATACTCGAGTTCCCGTTCGGTCTCCTTCAGCTTTCTCTGTAAGGTCAGGTATGCTTGCTGCACGGACTCCAGATGCTCAGGCTAGAAGATTTCAATTGGTGTTCGCCAGTTAGATATTGATTGCAATTTAAGGTAGAAATACTTATCGGCACAGCCAAAAACATGCAGTGCAGAAGAAAATATGGCTTACCGTATCATAGTCTGTGTCGAGTCCGTACCCTTCGTATTCTGTCCGACTTTGCTCTCGGATGCTCATATTGTTGTAATTGCTTATCCATTGCTTCGAATCGCCAGTATGAGGAGAGGGACTAGAGGACGAGGAGGAGATGCCAGAGTGTGATCCGTGTGAGCCATGCTAGCGAGAGTCAAGTAGGATCAGTCAGTGCGTTAGTATTTAGGATAATCTCTGCTGCAAGTACACTCCATGCAATAAAGAGAGAAGAGAGAAAAAAAATGTCGACCCATATGCGCCATCATATGTTCACATCCCGTCTGTTTCTGTATGCCCCAACTTTCGCATAAAAAGAAAGTCAAAAGAGGGGGAAAAAAGATCTTTGTCGAGCATCTTGAACACAAAAAAATTGCCATGTGTCAACGACAACCATTGGCATCCAAACAAATAAAAAGACAAGGGTACATTGGCGCGATACTTACTCCAGGAGACGACACTCGATATTCACTCTCGTCCGAGTCATCAGCTGAAGACCCGTGGGACCTAGAGGGGCGAGAGCGATACTGAGATGACGATTCGCTAAGGGAGATCTTTCGGATCGGCGAACCTCTTGGCCGAGCGTAGATTGAGGAGTGGTGCCGTGGATGCAGATGTTTCTCGGAGGACGAGGGCCGGTCCTCGAGTTGATGGAGGTATGGGTCGTTATTGTTTTGTAGATCATCAGACTCCTGAAAAGAACCCTGGTCCTCCTCCATGGACGTCTCGACTATGGGAAGTGATTCGGGCATGGGGGGCGGGGTTCCCTGAAGAAGGCTGAGAAGGTCCCCGAGATCCTTCTGGCTGACGACGGTGCCCTCGACACGTGCAATATAGTCTGCGAGTTCCTCCCAGCTCGATTGCTTCAGCAGCGAGGTTCCTTGCTCCTGCTCGACTCGCCGCAAGACCTTTTCCATCATTTCAGCCACGATGCCGTATCCATTGGGATCGTACTCGGGCCATATCCTGGCCAAAATATCCGTTGCTGATTCTCCGCCCTATGTTACAGACAAAAAGATGGTTGTTTGGGATTAGTATTTGGGTAATGACCTGTGACGCAAAGGATTAGGGGTTCATGGCATAATGACAGGGGACTCTTACCATTGTAAGTGTGGTTTCTTAAGACAATGGAACTGGTGGCGGGAAAATAAAAAGAACAAGAAAAAAAAGAAGGGTTCGCTTGATGAATGAAAGCGATGGGTACGAGTGCAGAGAACAAACAGGATGGTAACGGAGAAAGGGAGAGAGAGAAAGAGGGAGAAAGGGGGGGATGGACTGATGAAATAGCTGGGGCGATGGCGGAGAGGGATCCAAAGTGAATGTCAAGGTTTGGGAGATAAAAACGGCTACTTCAAGGGACAAGGGACAAGCTGAAGAGGCGCTCTTGGTTGGGTGTATCAAAGAGTGTATGTGGTTGCAAGGACTCCTGGCGATGAAATAAAGAAAAAACGGTCTTGTAGCTTTGTTTTATGGCGAGGAAGTAAAGGTAACGGAGGACGGAAAGAGGAAAGGGAAAAGAAAAGACAAGGAGAGCAGTAGACATGCACCTAGTTTAACACAGGCATAGGCAAACAGGCACAGGCACACAAGCACACAGGTTACAGATTACAGGCTTCAGGCTTCAGGCTACAGGTTCACCGGTTCAGGCACAACAACACTCCAACAAATCAGACCAAATAGAACAAAATAAAGCGGAGCAAATCCAAGACAGGCTAATATCCATAGCATCCGTAGTATTCATAGCATCCATTGTATTCATAGCATCATACTCGCACAAATATGGAAGCAACCTCTGGACCACGACATTCTGCGCCCAAATCGCTGGACATCTTCTCCCTGCTGCTCACCTCGAAAGCCCTCGGCCTTGCAGACATCGAAGGGTGAGCATTGTGTCCCATGTACACATGCGCAAAGGATAACGGGGGGTCATGACCGACATGGTCTAAAAAAGGGATCATCATCCATCTACCTAAACAGGGCATTCCTCTGCCACCTTCCATGTGCACACCTGTAGGGCTTATCCTTTTATGTCCCCATGGCCTGACCTGACGCACATCATCAGTGCTTGACCTACTTAATCTACGAGTTCCTTCCTTCATTTGCATCCGCACTTTGACTTAGAAATGAAGCCTTGTATAAAACCCTCCATTAAGAAGCATGAAGCCAATGGCGATCTTGGTCTCAGATACGGTCCATGATAAGCTGAGAACAATACGCGAAGAGAAACCTGGACGCGTGTTATGTATGTTACGCGCTGCTTCCTACGACACCGCTCTTCAAGTACAGCTGCAGTGATGAGTTGCGCATATGGCTCTCCCATGCTCGCATCCAATAATGCATTCATTATCGAATCACTGACAATAAATAAAACAATAAGAAAAAAAGGAGGAGGGGGGAGGGGGGGATCTATAGCCGCTCAAACTGTCGGAAAAAAGATATACAAACATGCATCTGGAATGTAATGCGACTCATCCTAAATTCAAATATGAAGCCCGCTGTTTTCAAGCCCTTGCAATCACAATGGGTCATCTTCAGAGAGCACTCACTCACTACCTTATTTTCGGCGAAGCAGAACCCTCAATAAATTCCTCTCGCTATCTTTTTTTCATTTCCCTTTTCTTTTCTGAACCTCGTCCTCCACATCTCTCAATTCCTGCTTCCCTCTCTTTTTCTCTCCATCCCTCATTCTCCTCCCTCAAAACGCTCGACCATGGCTAGAGGAAAATTCAAAAAACCACAGCGTGGAGGCGGTAGGACCTTCAGTCGTCGTATCGAGGCTGTACACACCACACGACCGAATCTGGTAAGTCATTCCAAGAACCGCTCCTATGAACAACATAGCGAAGAGAGTTGCACCAGGATCAGAACTGTGTATCTATCCAGCATACAGTCGTACAACGCATCCTTCCCCCTTCTTTCCCTTCCTTTCCGCAGAACCATGAACGTCAAGAAGCACTCATGGATCCATCTCTCTCGCAGTCCGAATCCGAGTCCGAACATGAACCTGAACCCAGTACCCTCAACAACCACCCTGCAGATTCGAAATCTGATTCCGATTCTGAGTCCGAGTCCGAGTCCGAGTCCAAGTCCGGGTCCGCGATGGAGCGTGCACGCGGGGAAAACGGACAGAACAAAGTGGACGCTGTAAGTCATTAAGTTCTTTGAAAGTATGGGTGTGTCATAGACATGGAATGGAAGGAGTCACCTTGCATCGCGCTCCTTTTTTTTCAGAGCTTTCTGTTTACATACAACATTATTCTCACGCACGCATATATTCCTATTCATTGTACCCAACATGTACAACAACAACAACAATAACGCGCACAGGCCAAACAATCGTCAACCCCCGTTCCTGGCATCGAGATCAATAACCCGAACCGCCTCTCGAGCAACACCCTCTTCAACGACAGGAGACAAAACCACAGGACCCTTGACATGAGCATTCCCATTGAGATGTCCCGCAAAGAAAGGTACCTCAGGACGGGACCCGACACGATATCTTGTACACAAGAGAATCGTGTGCTGTTGCTACATTTTTTTTTTTTTTTTTTTTTTTTTTCATTTACCACACTGACAATGACTAACAGTAGTGAATGAAAAATGCAATTGCTCTAGAGAGGCCGCAGAAAGAGAGGCTGCAAAACAGAGGTACTGGAAACTACATCAGGAGGGCAAGACAGATCAGGCAAAGGCGGACATGGCCCGCTTGGCCATCATTCGAAAACAGCGCGAGGAGGCTGCTGCTCAACGCCTTGCAGAAGCAAAAGGTATACATTTTTATACATATTTACAAATATATATCCCCCCGAACAACACAAACACTACACTACACTGACACTGCTCCGTCTTTGTTTTTTCCTAACCTTAGCCAAGGAAGACGCTGCAGCTGCAAGGATGAGAACCTCACTTGGACTATGAGACCAACAAAACACGTCAACGACGTACATGCGAGCATGGGTAACGTCCGGATCATCAGTATGATGGTAACAATAAAAACTTTATTTTATTTTTTTTATTTCAAGAAGCTGTTACTACATGTCACCCCATCTCTCTCTCCTAGGACTGGTTCAGCTCCAGTACCAGGGCTCCATGTCTGCCCTCCATCAAAATAACGAGCACTCCCTCTGCAATAAGCTGACATCCAATAATATCCACAACCTGGCCCTTCGATACATCCACAACCGTCTGCCGCTCCTGCTTCAGTTTCGTGTCTGCACTATGCCAGTATATGTACACGTTTCGACTCGACTCCACAATCACCGCGAACCGACCATGCGGATCATGCATCACAAACCGTCTCTCCCTCTTGGACGCCTGCACAAACGCCAGCGCATCAAACGTGCTCACATGTACAAACTTCATGATCCCGCCCGTCTGCTGGATAGAGGACATGATCGGCATTGATCCTGGCAAATGTTGGATCGCATAGACCAGGCCATCGACATCATGTTTCAAACACACCGTCGGCATCCGGAACGGTTGCTCATCGCCCTGGTTGTATTCAAAACTCGGGAATGCCTGTCCGATCCAATCGTGTCCACTTCCAATAGTCGTTGCCCGTACAATATCCGCTCCATCTTCTGCCTGGACCCAAGAAAACTTGATCTCCTCACCCTCCTCATCAATGTCCTCCGGTGAATCCTGACCAAGCGAGGGCTGCACGGTCGATCCTCGTCCTGGCCCCGCATTCGCCTGGTCTGAAGTGTACTTTTCCAGCGCGCTTCTATATTCCGCAAACACAGATGGATCGAGCGTTTCTTCAACCGGATTGGTGTCCATGCCCTCTGCAAAGACCTGAGTCCACCTCGTCCTGGCGTGCTTCTTTTCCATATTCAATGTAAGAACCCCAGTCTCGGGTTCCAATATCCAAATACAATCCTCCGGCAGGACCTCATCGAACAAAGGCATGTTGTCGAGATTAGGCAACCTGACGGCCTGATTAGTCGGTTGCGAGAGATTGACCTGGAGCTCAAGTCCTTGACGAGAAAACTTGCAGTGGACCGCGTGTTTGGTGGTGCCTCTAGGAAGACTAAAGCAGATAGTGACTTCGCTATCCGACTGGGTCCAGATATATGGCGGCTCTGAGCGTGGCGCTATGCCAACATCGGTACCGTCCAGCTCCATCGCTTCAGATCCGGGCTCCAGATAGTTTGTTCTCTGAGCGACCACAGGCTCCTTTGTTGGCTTATATGTTGTGTTACTGCCGATCACATATCCTTCGTTCGAGGGGTCCAATGCGCAATAGAATGGGACCTCGGTTCCTCTGATAGAATGAATAGTCCTTGAAGGCACTGACACGAACTCACCCTGATTCGCTTCCGTGGATCCCTCCGCATCTAATTCCATGTCCGTATCCACCGGATCTGCCGATCCTGAGAATGGACGATCCCAGACGAAACTGCACAGATTGACGATAAACACTGTCTTCTGATCCGATTTATGATGCGGCGAGGGCTCTGACGAATAAAATGTGCTCTTGGTAGCATAGCATACAATGAATCGGACTTCCATTGCCTGTGCACCATCGTCCTTGGTGATCGGGAACGCTTTTGCCTCGAGTAGTCCGCATGGAGCGATCTCGTCGTCTGTTGCTGACGGTCCCTCTGGCAGAAACGTAGTGAAAGCCTCAATTTTTGCCTCGTACTCTTTGTTGGCGAATACGAATCGGACCAAATAGAGGGTCGACGCGCCATCAGAAACCAGCATGTAATCAGGCGAAATGGGTTTCACCGAAGGGAACTCGAGATAAAAATTGAGTGGTGCTGCAGGTGGAGGTATCTGGAGGAGCTTTTTGCTTCGGAGTCGATGAGCTGCCTGCGACGCATAACCGGATTCAAAAAAGACCGTTAGCACTCGCTTACTGCTATTACGCAGGGTCGATCTATAGAGAGAACGCGAGGTGTGATCATGGCCCTTACCTTGTCATACTGAAGCGCGATCAACATGAAATCCCCATCGATCGCAAAGAGGATGCCGTCGCGGATACGGTTGCTGTCACCATTGGCTGGTTTGAAGGAGTTCCATCCGGGATGAAGGTGGTTATGGCGAATCCTGGACTGGATCTGCCGGTATGATAGTTTGGTGGAGGAGGACAGCTTAGGGACCACGACGCCTGGTCCCGGGGTGCCGACGGGGACAAAGTGCTGGCGCGATTCTTCCAGAAAGGACAGTTTGTATCCTTCGAACTTTGGGTTGAGCAGGGTCCTGTCCTGTTGAATGGGAACTCGAGTAGCCATGGAGACAAAATGTAATGGGTGAACAGATGCAAGTTCAAGCAAAGCGATCGCTACAGTGCCTTCCCACAAAGTTCAGTGATGACTGCTATTGGGGACAGACAAGCACATTTGATTTTATTTTATTTTATTGAAAGTTCCAGTAATTTATGCAAGTGCCTCGCTTGGAGTTGGCATTAGGGCCCGCATAGCCAAGGAGTACACCAAGAACGTCGCCGCGTTGCAGGGAAACGCACGAATGACCGTCGCATTGACGCCTCTGAAGAATACACGGAAGCCCTCCTCTCTGTACAGATGTTTCGTGCAATCCCAGACTCCCTTGAACTGCTGTGCCTTGGGTGTAGATTCATGTTGTGCTTGCATTCTAGTCTTGATCATATCTACCACAGCCAGATATATAAAAAAAAATAGACGTGTTTTTTCAGTAAGGCGCAAATCAGCGAAAAGATTTATCGAAGTATATCAAAATGCACGCTCGTTACCTGTGGGATATGTACTAAGCCAGCCTGCAATGCCTGCGAACCCTCCTGCGACCACGAGTCTGCCACTGGATAGATCCTGGGTCCTCTGACCCTCGGGTGTGAGTGCCCTGCAAAAGATCTCGTAGCTCAAAAAGTAAGGTCCATATGAGGTCTCGCGCAGGATCGTAGCCCACAATCCACGGTAGCACGCACGGAGACCACCCTGACGAAATGTCTGTCGGAAGCAATCCATGGGTCCTTTGTAGAAAGTGCTGCTGATTTTTCCTTTTGTATTGGCTCCCTGGTCCTGGTTCTGCAAACGAATCTTAGACAACTCCATGGGGCAACTGATAAAGCTGTGGAGTATTGAAGAGATAAAGTGGTGGTGGTCATTAGTAGTGATGAAGAAAGCAGAAACAGTTCCTCAGAGGTCGCCAGAACAACTACAACAAGTGCTTACCTGTTGACAACGCCTGATCCTGTGCCGGCGATGAAGATCTGTAATAGCGTTGGATCGTCAGCTGGATTTGCCATCTGGATATCCATAAAGAATCCATACACGCCGAACAGCAGCGCATTCACCAATGCAACTCCGACCTAAGCAATCGTACCAAATGCAAATAAAAGGAAGTGTCAGAGCAATTGCAGTTAGGAAACCACGGTTACTAGTACCAGCACCAGCACAAGCATAAGCAAAGACTCCGCCTATTCAGCAGTCAAACATATGCAATCAAAAGCGAGCAGTCAGCTGCTCCTAACTTACCATTGGGGAAGCCTAAGAGCAGACAGCGACACGGACAAAACAGAGGGAAGTGGATCAAGGTCAGCCTGAAGTCCTTATGATGGGACGAGCACTACGAGATCAACGAACATAGGGACCTCTGTCGTTTGGCAAACCTGTAGTATGCCAAAGACTTACCATGCCCTTGTAAAGACCCTTCACCTAAGTAGCGGAAAAGATACGCAGACATTCGGATGAATGGAATGCCCTCTTTGCTGGCACAGTCATACGACACACCGATGTGCGCGCCTTTGTACATGTATTTGCGAAAATCAGGATTGATTGCTACCTTCTCCTGCTTCAATATCGTCGTGAAGCAGTTCCATGTCCCTGAATATCTGCTGGCCAGCTCTTTGGACTGCAGTCGAACCTTGACGGTATCTAATGAACAGCAGCAGAATCCTGTCAGCACTTTTGGACTCCCATGGTATTGAAACATGAAGAATGCGATCTCAAGGCTTACCCCATGGATGACCGACACACAATCCTGCGACGCCTGCAGATCAGTTGATGATGAGGGCAGGTATAGAGTGCAAGGGTTAGAGTTATAGGTCGCCTGCATGATCCCTCCCTGCCTTTTCTTTAGGTCGGTTTGGGCGTCGAGTAACTTTAGCGTAGTATAGAGAGTCATTGAAGATTTCTGTCCTGAACGCCTTACCTCCTATTGTCCCTGCAACAAAATTGGATGTCCAGTCGCTTCCAGCTGCTATTAAAGAAAAGAAGAGTCGAAGAGCAAGGGGATAGAGACAGTTAGCAAAGCGAGTTCCTGTTGAATGCTTAGCAACCCTTCGTGAGGAGCATATCCAGAAGAGATGAGTCAGGTGTCCAGTCAGCAGCAACCATTCAAGGAATGTATCACATTTCCTTTGTGAGCTCTGGCTTCCCATTGTCCAGGTCACTTTCTGTATTTTTTTCTTCCACCCAGGCACAAACTCCATGGGATACCACTCCGTCTTTGAACCAACTGAAGGAAGAGAATGCAAGGATCAAGCAAGCGAATGGACATGAGCATGCTACTGCGTTCTTACGTTCGTCCTGTACGTGTACGAGGGCAACGCTTTCGTCGCAATCAAGCATAAGCAAAGCAGTGCGGAGTTAAAAAATGGGCTTTGGGGGTGCAATTGACTAATAGGTGTGCGGAAGAAGTAGTAGACGGGGAGGATACGAGGATCAGATGGTCTTGTGGGTAGGGCAGGGTTGAACTATAGGGAAGAGAAGGTGAAGATGGAGATGGAGAAGGGCGGGAGTGGAGAGGGAAGGGGCGCGTAGGGTAAGTAAAGAATGGGGTGTGAGAGAAGGAGAGGAAGAGAAAGAGAAAGTGGGAAGGAAAGAGATCAGTGCAAGAGGAGGAGTCAGATCTGATGAGTGCAATGAATCGACAGCGAGCAGATGAGCGAATGAGAGAGAAGAGTGGGAACAGTAACCCATAACCCCACACACACACACACGCACACGCATGCCCAGAGAGGGAGGGAGGGAAGTACATGTAACAGGAACATGTCTCGATTTGGCAGGTGGGCCATTTTCTTCCCACAGCATAAGGTTCGAAGGTACAACCTTACTCATACAAGAGAGTGCATGTCCTCAGGATATACAGGCAGGCAGAGGATGCCCTTAAAGAAATGGTTGCCACCAAAAACAGCCGCCACACACCATGCCATTGCGCCCAATTGAGTGGCCTTTTCCTTGCTGCTGCCATGACTGCATGCTGCTTCCTGTGAGAGATGTCTTTGTAAGCCAGACCGAAAGAATTGGGAAAGTGTTCAACCACGGACTGTTCTTCGCACTCTCCTCCATCCTCGTCATTGGATGGACAGCGATGGAGGCTGTGCAACTGCCATTTCTGTATTACAATATACACCCTCTTTACCAGCCATCAATTGCAACGGAAGCAGCTCTACGCCACCACATCCCTTTCGGCTCTCCCTCTCCTGCTCACAAAGGGATTTATTTATGCGGTTACAATACACTCGGGTCATTGGACCCGACTGCAATGGCCATCCCTGGCTCTTTTCCCCTTCCTTTTCCTTCGTCTCCGCCTCCGTCTCCGTCCCCTTGACTGGATTAGATACGCCAAATGACAGCAGAGAGAACATGCTTGGCCCCGTTGTAAGAAGAGCGTCAGGAGCACGGACAGTAATGACACTTGGCTTTGATTGACCCTCCTCACCCACTGCGGTACACTCTCCCTTCCCTCCAAAACCGTTTCCTAACCCTGATCCTGCCCGTCGTATTCAATTGAAAACCCCCCCCCCCCCCCCATGGCCGCAACCTCTTTTCTCTCTATTTACCGTTTTCTCATCTTGTCAGGTTTCTTTTGTAACAGTCCCTCCTCATCCTCACCCCCTTTTTTTTTTATGTATTTCGAGTGAGTTCACTTCTGCTTTTTTATTTGTATTTTTATTTTTTGGCACGTTTATTCTTCCACACATCACCACATAACAGCAACATTGACTCTATACAACCATGGGTGCAGCAGTATCGCGCGAACATGCAAAACTACCCTTCGCTTACACCTATGCCCGCAACGAAGGTCACGCCTGTACGGCCTCAACCTCTACCCCCTCATCCTTAACCTCCAGCCAACAGCGACTAGCCCATCGCCTCTTGCTCATCAGGAACGCCGACTCGACCTCCGTCACACCTCTGTCAACGCATCGCCCACGCTTGATGGACGAAAGGGTCAACCCAGGATCAATACCACCGTACACAGGACTTGGAATCGCACCGTCCACAGCGGCACCCTCATTGATTTCTCACTCGAGCACGGACGATACGGATTCTAATAATGATGAGATCCTGTCGCTGTGCTCGATCCTAAACCAGGGTCCTGAACTCAAGTTGCAATGGCATGCGGTTGGTCAGGAGGATCAGGAAGGATATTACCTCAGCAATAACTTGAATGTTCACACTACCGCATCTGGCTCAGGAACCAGAGCAGATGCCTACCAGGGCACAGACTCTGGACACGAAAGCGGTCTTTGCCACTCTCACTCCACGACCCTGAAATCCATATCGAACCAGATCGCGAATGCGGTCCCGACTAACCTTGAAACCGTTATAGACCCCTATTCACATACAAGGGCGGGCTCGCTGGTGTCGCCCTCTGTCGCTATCGCTATAGGGATAGACCCATCCTTGGAAATACTCGATACCGCCTGTGCCGATCTCTCCATTGAATGTCCACCATACACCACGAACACCACCATTGCTGCAACTACCGCCACTGTTGCCACCACTGCATTATCCTTATCAACTCCATTGCAACTCTCCAATCCTGAGCAAAAGGCCAGGGGTGAATCAAAAGCTTCTGAGCCGATAGAGCGTCCGGGCATTCAACCGACTCGACATCTCCAAAATTACTCTTTCAGTTCATTACAACAGGATCTGATAGACTCGGATGAGGAAATAGACGAAGACAACCTCAAAAAAGACTACATTAACAAAAGTGACAGGAAAAAAATAAATATCATATCTGCGTTGGGCATCATGGATCTATCAGACGACGACAAGCAAGAGGACATGTCATTCAATTTCTTCAACACAGAGCCAACATCTTACTCCTCTCCGTATCAGCACTGGCTTCAAGCAACGACGAGGCGACACACAACCGACAGAGATTCATTTCCGTACGGCAAAGGAACCGTACTGTGGCAGGGCCAGGATGATGGTTTCGAGGGAATGGTCCACATTCCGCAGGGCTTCTTTGAAGAGCACCAACGCCACTTTAGGCCGTATAAAGGAGATCCTGATGAAAGTCTTGACTATGAAGCTGATGAGGAGGGTGAGAGCGACTATGCACAAACCAGAAGGTCAGGCAGGGGCAAGGGCATCGAAACCTTTAATATCGACCACTCGACGGCAAAGCTCGGTTCAGCCAGCTGTTCTCTTTCGAATTACTCGATGCTGATGGCGACGGACGAAGATGTAGCCCATCTCAGTCCTATATCGTTCTCTGAACTGTCAAGCTTTACAAATATTGGACTTTGTTCCCATGGCATCGTCAGGCTGTCGTCCAACATTCGTCTCCTGTCCTCGACAACTTGTCTTCGAATGTAAGCTATGAAAAACCTTTGCATGCATGCCTGCATGTTGCTGGTTTTTTTTTTGCTTTTTTATTTTCTGGTGAGCAAGAGGGAGAAAACTCTACACGAGTATTTAACTCACTCAGCTTGACTTCATATACCTGCGAATCCAGTTGCTGCAATGATCTGTGTAGTATCCCCACAGAGATTGGGCGCCTATGGAACTTGACACTCCTCGACCTGTCCAAGAACAGCCTCACCTCGTTGCCGGACTCGATCCAACAGCTCACGCGACTTGTCGATCTCAAGCTGTCCTTCAACTTTCTCGAGAGCCTCCCTACAAACATTGGGAAGCTCACCAAAATGAAGTCGCTCTACCTCAACAGCAATCGTCTAAGCCGGATCCCTGCTGAAATCGGAAACATCAAGGGTCTGGTCCATTTGGATCTGAGAGATAATCCGATCTCGGTTCTCCCCGCTGACATTAGTCAGCTCCAGTATCTGACACAACTTCGCCTAGATCGTTGTCCGCTTCTGCTTGAATTTGTGCACTCGCCTTTGCATTCGCCGCCGACGCTGCTGGAACTGGCTGCAAGAGTGGTCGTGCGGCACAACATGGGTGTCCCTAGGGTAGTTCCCTTCCACTTACGGGCCCACCTCAGGACGGCCCAGCGCTGCAGTTTCTGTCATGGACCCTATTTTGAATCATCGTTCAAGCGTGGCAGGATGATCGAGAAGAACGACAGACTCATACCTCTCGAATACACCCTTTGCACCCCACACTGGAATACAAACACGGAGAGGGTCAGGCTGCTGTTTGGACCACGACCGATAACCGCACCATCAGTACCGCCTGCAAAACCAACAAGGACAACCTTGCCACCTTCATTCACGGAATCTAATAAGGGGGGCATAAGGAGATATGCCAGGTCAGAGACGACCTCCGCACAAAGATCGACCTCTTCGTCTCTATTGCCACTGTTTAATCAACTGCGCGCGTCGTCTATATCCGGGCCAGCGGTGACAGCATCCATACCCCTGCGTTCTGCAAATACCAGCATGGATTTGTCATCAGGTAGCAGTTCAGTACGTATACGAGGAATGCGGAGGAGGATAGGATCTTCGCGTCGAGGTGGATCCACTGATTCTGGGGCTGCTACGAGCGCAGATGCGAGTGCCAGGCCGTCAACAGCTCGTCCTTTGACGTCCGCACCACCATCATAATCCGCATCCAAGGCCCGGTTTTCAATCCGACTAAAACCCAAGTCAGTTGATTATCCTTTCTCATAGCCATAGGTTCTCTAATATTTAAAAAAATAAAAAAAGATCATTAAAAATATAGATGGAGTGTATATACAATGCTGAATCGCCCATTTGTTCAGTTGAAAGAGATGCGCGAGGGTTACATCTATGCTTATTTTATATGAATTCTTTTTTTTATTCAATGTCGCATAGCACTAGATCTCTTCACACATGAGGAATGACACTGTAGATCAGCCGTTAGGTCGGAATGTGTGCGCTTCATGTCCCATTTTGTAATTACCAGCGCTTCGATTGAAGGGGTTTTTTCTAGTTCTCTCCTACAAAAGAAAGGACTACTCTCTCCTCGCTCATTAAAGCGACATTCATATGGAGAGGCGCGTAGCTAGGTTGTGCGTGTGCTATCTGCTAGTATGAATACGAAAGGAGAGCGAAAGAGAACGAAGCAGAGCGAAAGAGAACGAAGAAGCGAGGGTAGAGAACATCTCCTCTGCCTAAGGCGCTGGCTCATACAACCCCCGGCTTCGACGGTGCAGAAAGACGACCACGCTAGTATGATCCATAAACTTACTGGGCTGCCCTTTAAGTCACTTTATACATGACCTTCCGCAAACGCGAAAAGAAATACAGGGCATTCCTCTCAGCTTATTACATCTGCTTTATGGTCTCCATCTTTTATCGGTGAAAGAAGAAAACTATCCGCTTTTTCCATTAATATGCGGCAGTGTTCAGAGTCAAAAGATGTTAGGGACGCGTCCTCGATTGCTCTCCGCAGAGCTTAATTTCTGCAGCGCTCCAGCACCCCCGTATACACTCACATAGACACAGCCGATCGATGTGAGCTCAGGTGTGTCAATCCGACTTTAGCGCTGTGCAGCCCCTACTTCTCTCTTCTAAGGTTTGGGTGACCACGCATAGCTGCCTCAGTCGCTAAACTAAAATACAATACACGGAACATCCGCTGCTACAGTACTTTGAGGAAAGGTTACAACATTTTCATGTTTTTGCCTTTTTGTTTAACATTCTATTATCTTACTCCTTAGCTGAATATTATAGCCGTGGCACTGTACTTCCTATCGCTGAAGGTCGCAATGCTGTTGTGACTATTCTGGTGAAGAAAGAAATGCTTGAGTACGGCAACCTCATTGATGTAATCTCTAGAATATTCCGGGTAAGACAGGTGTCAGAATGTTTATGCCGTTGAAAGATTCCTGAAAACTATAAAAGTGGTGTAGCGCCCAGGCCCGAAGCGGCACATATTACCATTTCAACCACTCTGCATTCAACCCATGAAAAAACGGATTCCCAAACCCAACGCATGGTCCTATCCCTCCTCAGGGATGGCCTCTCGATCAAGAAAATCGCCAAAAATGTTCCAGTCAGCGTGGCCACTGTTTCACGTCTATGTTCGAAACATTTGCCAGGCCTAGTCCGTAATGCCCCAGGTCGCCCACCTATTCTTTCCGATCCCGACAAGCGACTAATGAGGAGACAGGTCCTTTGTGGAAAGTGCAAGACAGCTGTGATGTTTTATGTATTTCAGTGTGAGTCAAGGAGACAAAAGAGCGTTGTTGTTTATTATGCTCCCGGTAGGGGTTTTTATAGCCCCGATCTGGGGCTTGGAGTATTAGATAGCTTAATAGTCTCATGAATAAAAATGGAAGTGGCCTGAATATGAAGGTTCACTCCCAGTACAGTCCCAATTTGGGGTCTGGACGGAACAACTTCCCCCAAGTTTTGATCCCTCAAAACTACTGTTGAGATGGGGTTAGTCATCGATGTGTGAGGAAAATGATAGTAAAAACCTCTGTGATATGAAACGTAATGGAGGAAAAGGTAAACCTCCTAGTAGTTCGTCTGAGGAAAACGAGAAAAACCTCAGTTGGATGATTTAGTTGCGAGAGAAAAAGGTAAAACTCGCTGGTGCGTCAACGTCTGTGCGTTGCAACCTTAAATAATGAATGTGGGGAAAAATGTACAAAACCCCTTTTGATCATACCCTGAATTTTCTTCTCTCTTCTGGAGAAGACTCAGAGCTTGAAAGCCCTCAGTAAGCGTTGTCATGCTCACTACTTTGCTTTCTTCCTGGGAGAGGAGTTTTTCTTTCCTCTTTTTCCCTTACTCGCATCTTTTGAGATTGGTTTTTGCTGTGCCATCTGTTGTCGTAGCGTTTTTCTCTGAACTCTCTTTTCCTTCTCTGCTTGCTTTGCAATGACATGAGGGTTCTGTTGGTTCAAACGCTTCCAGTACCGTCTGATGATCAGATCTGAATCAAAATTGTCATACTCTAGTTGCGAGTTGTGAGAAGAGTCGTATCCTTTCCACTTGACAGTGTACCTCACCCCCTCTGCCGTGAGTTCGTGGCCAAGAATGGCTTCGACTTCGTACGACTCATCATTGCGACCATCTAGGTCCTGCGTGACAAGTTTGAGTTGGACAGGGGCGTAGTTGCGTTCTAGTTTCTGATTCGTGGCATCCAACAAGGTATAAGCTCCATTCTCTATACGTTCCATGACCTTGTAAGGGCCTTGGTACTTTGGTGCAAGCTTGCCTTCCTGGAGTTGCTCTCTGGCCATGACATAACAGCCAGGAGGGAACCCCAGAATGTGATGTGTACGATTGAACTTATCAATCATTTTGCGCTATGTTTCTGCACTGGCTTCTGACACTGCCGGAAAGACTAGTTCCGTAAGGTATTCCAAGCGTTTCTCAAGTTCTTCTTCTGCCATAAGATGTGATTCTGCTGACGTAAAATCAGTTAGCCCTGCAAAGGAGCGTCCGAAGAATAATGAGAACGGCGTAGACTTGTGGAGACTCGCCGCACGCTCGTTTAATTGGAGTTGGGTCAAAGGAAGATAAGCATCCCAAAGATCAAGACGACCTTCAAGTTGCTTCTGAATATTCTCTTTAAGGGCTCTAACATATCTCTCAGCAACACCGTTGGATCGAGGATGATATGGTGTGGATAACCTGTGATCAATCTGCAGCTTTTGCGACATGAGTTTGGCTACTTCATTTACGAATTCGGTGCCACTGTCGCTTTGGATAATCTTTGGGAAACCAATTGTACAAAATAATTTGAAGAAGACGCCTGCAACTGTCTTGGCTTCCTTATTCGGCAATGGTCCCAGAAAGACGAATCTAGTACAGATGTCAACCATTACCAAGGCGAACACGTTGCCTTGCCTGCTAACGTCAAATGTGGCTAGATCAATCGCTACATGCTCTCCAGGTAATTCTGCATGAATGGCTTTCAGTGGATGATATCCTTTGCGTGCAATATTAAAGTGCTGACAGGGTCCACATTGGCTAATCCATTTGAGACAATCTTCCCTGAGCTTTGGCCACGTGTAGCCCCGCTCATAAATGACCTTAACCATTGCATTACCCCCGAGATGACCAAATTCATGGACTTGATTGAGTATTTGTTTGCGTTCTTCGACGTCTAGAACAGTAGTTCTGTCCATGCCGTTCGTCTGCATAACATGAGTATACGGTGCTTCATGATCAATAGGTACTGTCGAGAGACGATCTGCTAAGTCAACCGAAGAAATAGTGACGTCCTCTTCTGTAGGCGAAAGAGTGGCCTTTCGTAGCCCTGACCTAGTCACTGCTGCAACACGATGCTCCTTGCCTCTAGAGTTTACACTCTCAACAGGCGTCCATAATTCATCTGGAAATGCTCGGGATAATGCATCTGGAATAACGTTCAACAGCCCTGGACGATACACACATTCGAAATTATAATTGAGCAATGTCTCCTTCCAATTCGTAATGATCGGAGGTAGCTCCTTCTGTTCGTGAATGTATGTCAAGGGTCTGTGATCAGTGTACAGCGTGAACCTTCTACCCCACAAATAGTGATGGAATCTCATGAGAGCAAATATAATCCCCAAGAGCTCCTTTTTATAAGCGGGATAGTTCTTTTCGTGCTTGTGCAGTGCGCGTGCCTGAAAGGAAACGTAGTTCACTTTAGATTCGTCGCTTTTTCCATTTGGTAACTGGTACAAGACTGCACCGATGCCCACATTAGAGGCGTCAGTGGCGACATTAAAAGGTTCTTTGAAGTTTGGGAATGACAAAACAGGTGCTTGGGCAATCAGATTTCCAATTGCATCAAAACTGCGCCTTTGCAAGTCATCCAACTCAAACGTACACTGACTCCGGGAATTGAGTAAATGTTTTCTCAGTTTATCATTGGTGCTCCCCAGTTTCATAGTGGAGGGTAGTATGAACCCATGTTTCATTACCAAGTTAGCATTACTACGTCTAACCAGTATGGTGCAGTTTGAAATCATTCTGACATCATTCCAAGGAGAACGCAAGGTATTTGTCTATCTGCTGCATTTACTCAATTTCCGGCCTCTCATTCCAAAATATTTAAATCGTTTACACTTTTCTCGCCTTACCATCTGCATTCTCGCCGTTTCTCACAGCTTGTAGCCCCTTCTACCATTTTCTCTCCTACGCAATGAAGAAGCTCAGTTCCATCGTTGAGGGTCTCATCATCGAGAACCTAAAGTCCGGTATGACCACAAGACAGATTGCTCGGAAGCACTCTGTTTCTCAGTCCAAAGTGTCCCAAATTGCGCAAACAGTCAAACAGAGCATTCCTCCAGCCAAAGCCGGCCGTCGAAGCCAGGTATCCCCAACCACTCGACGCGCAATCGTACGACGTATCACAAACGGCGATCTTAAAACGGCCGTTGATGCGCAGAAGCATCTCTCTGAGCAACTGGGCATCAACATCTCTACCAACAGGGTCAGAGAGATCTTCAGGGAGGAGGGACTGACGGCAATGCGAAAGGTCAAGCGCCCCAAACTGACCGCCAATCATCGCAGGGAACGTATGAATTTTGTCCGCATGTATAAGCATTGGACTATCGATGACTGGAAACGGGTTCTATGGACAGATGAAACCAGGATCAACCGATACGGGTCCGATGGGAAGGTCTGGGTTTGGAAGAACACAAAAATCGGCGACCAGGACCGGCTCGTTGACGAGACGCTCAAGTACGGAGGAGGTCATCTTTTTATGTGGGGTTGCATGACGTATGACGGGCCAGGTTTCATCTCTCAAATCCATGGGACAATGGATGCTGAGTTGTATGTCGAGATCCTTGAGGAGTGTGTTGCATTGACGCAAGAGTGGTATGGGATCCGGCCACAGGATACAGTCCACGAAAAAAGTGTTATCATGTTTTCATAATTTCGACCTTTTTTCTTTGATACTTACATCAATACCGCCTACTGCTACGAGGCTTCACGCGATCAATCTCGTATATTTGTTAAGATTACCTGCCAAGTTACGAGCCAATGGATGCACTCTATCCGGCTAATTGAGGACATGAACATATTGACCCCATTCTAACACTTTTTCGAAATATGACCACCCTCTGATTCTGTTAGCTACTTTTCTGCCATTAATAATCGATATGGCCTCCTTTATTTGCGTGAAGCCTCTTCATGCGCTCGGGCATGCTCTCATATAGCTCGTGAATGAATTTGATATCTATTGTTGTCCATATATCCTGAACACGCTCCCAGAGGTCGTCCAAAGAGCTTGGTGCCTCTGGATACTGATCAAGTCGGTACTTGAGGTGCGACCATAGATGCTCGATCGGGTTGAGGTCCGGAGAATTCGCAGGCCATTCCATGACTGCGATCTTGGATTTCCTAAGGAAGTCTTCGACTATACCTGCTGTATGCACTTTGGCATTGTCCTGCTGAAAAATGAATTTTGCTGGATCCATACCAAACCAATCCCGAGATGCGCAAAGATAGTCCTTCAGTACATCGAGGTAGGTTTGTGCATCCATACTTCCTGGGATCCAGCAGGCATCGCCCAAGCCATAAAATGTTATGCAACCCCAGACCATAATTTTGCCCCCTCCGCCCTGCTTTGTTTTCTGCACTTGGTGAGGTTGGATATCCTTCCTGTTGGGCTTCTTGTAATAGAATTTCCTGCCGAAGGACCCAATCCTGCTGATTATAGTTTCGTCCGAGAACATCACATTCTTCCAGTCGTCCACGGTCCATTTCAAGTGCGCCTTAGTAAATTCGTAGCGTGCTCTGATTTGATCCGGTGTCAGATCACGCTTCCTAGGCTGGACGTATGCTTTTAAGCCCTCCTGTTTAAGGTAGTTCCGGACACTGTCTACATGAACCTGCACTCCTTGCACCGATTGGATAAGTCGCTGGCCGTCGCGGAGGGTTACGGCTTTTCCTGTGACGAAATGACGAGCAAGTAAGGTCTTGGTCTTCTTCGAAACCTTCGAAGGACGCCCTATTTAGGGGATGGAACGTTCTCCTTGTACCTTTGACGAATCTTGGAAACGGAGAAAGTAGAGATATGCAAGGATCTTGAGGCCTCGCGGACAGATTTTCCTTGCCGAAGTTGGATAATCGCATCGCGTACGGTTTGTTCTCGCAGCCGCTTCATGTTTGATGTAAACTTGGGATGAATGTGGCGTAGGATGGGAGTAGTGGATAACTGTGCAGTTGTATTGTTCTAGTTGCGAGTGAGGATGCAGACCGTAAGGGAAGAGCACAATTTATAGGATTTTTTAAAAGGTGTTAATGTGATAGTATCCTAGGCTAACCTTCTGCTTAGCCCTCAACCACGCCCCCATCACCGCGCCTCCACCACTGCGCCCCCTGTATATTAGTATAAATACCTCTATCTCTCTGTATAATAAAGATCATCCGTTCTAGCCCTTGTCTCTTGTCCCCTGCCTCTCGTGTTCCTACCTCGTGTCCTCTTGTTCCTGCACTTGTTCCTTCCTTCGTTTTGTTGCTATTACATGGTAGCAAAGATAACATCAATCCCCCCTCTGCCCTGCTTTTCCTCTCTTTTCTTTTCTTGATTCATCCTTTTTTTTTTTTTTTTAAAGTTTGATTTTTTTCCACCGTCTCTTTCACTCACACTATCATTATGTCTGACCAACTCGATTCCCTTCTTGACGGCATTCCCACCGACCGCCAGATTGCCATACGCAACTTTTTCGACGCTATACAGATCTCTGCGTCTGTACCCACTCCCGCCCCTGCTCCGGCCGAGCCCACCGAGCGCGAGCTGGAGGCTGATCGCCGTGACCTTGCCCGTACTCTGGCCCAAGTCCTCAAACCCCAGCGCCCTACCCCCTACTCCGGTGCGATTGATGCAGATGCATGCATTAACTTTATCGACAACCAAAAAGAGTACTTCACCGTTGTCAAGCTTGGTCTGGCCGAGTGGGTTCAGTACACGGCACTTAATCTGATCGACGATGCCAAGTCCTGGTGGCGCTCTTCGGGCCTGACTATCCGCACTCCTTGGGACGAGTTTGAGACCGACTTTCTCACCTTTCACACTCCTCCCAATGCCGTCGCCGCTGCCCGTGAGGCCCTCGAGTCGCTTAAACAAGGAAAACGATCGGTCGCGCTTTATACTCATGAGTTTCGTCGATTGCTCCGCCGTGTTCCCACCCTTGATAAAGGCACGGCCCTGCACTGGTTTGTTAAAAATCTTGAGCCAGATACCAGCAAGGAAGTCAAGCTTCGTCAATGTGCTACCTTGGAGATTGCCATCAGCCAGGCTACCTTGATCCACTCCATCCTTTTCCCCAATGGCCCTACCGTCGCCCCCACCCCCAAGCACGACCCTAACGCCATGGACATTGACAATCTCCATGTTGCCATCCACAACCTCACCACACAGGTCAATTACCTGTCCCGCAACAACGGCTTCGGCAACACCAACAACACTTCTCGCCCTCCCAAGCTCACCCCTGAAGAGAAGGCCTACCTCATCGCCAACAAGGGCTGCTTCCGCTGCCGCAAGCTTGGTCATATGGCAAACCAGTGTCGCACTTTTCCAAGCCAGCAACAGCCGCGTCAGGTCAACAACGTCGAAGTTGCCGCTAGCTCTTCTTCTGCACAGGCTTCTTCCCAGACCCAGTCGGGAAAAGCCAGCAGCAACTAGAGAAAGTCCAGGTCCTAGTTGCTGCTGCTCCCTCCTCTGTTCTTCTGGACCAGGGGAGTAAGCGTCTTTCCTCAGATAAGTTTTCATTTTCTTTTTAAATAAAAAATCTGCTGTGCCCCAAGACCTTGCTCCTCCCCCTTCTGTCGTTGCCGATACACCTGCTGACCCTCTGTCCCTGGTTCCCCCTTCTACGATGGTGCCCTTGCCCGCTGTATGCGCTTCCCCTGTCCCTCCTCCTCAAGAGGGGGCTGGATTGAGTGATACAGTGGACCTGGACCCACCTATATCTTTCTCCTCTCTAGCCCCCACGTCTGTCTTACCTGTTATGTCTATGCCTGAGTCTGTGTCTCCTCCTCTACTTGCCCCTGCCTGTGCTACTGGGCCTGCTGTCTCTCCCTCACCTCTTCCATCGGACTGCGCCCCCACTATGTCTAAGACCAAAATCCGTCGGTTACGAAAAAGGGGAATTGGAGTATCAACCTTTACTGTCGAACAAGCCAAAACAACTCTTCTTACATTCGTCTGCAATGTCAATGGCCATGCCGCTCGGATCCTCATCGATGGTGGAGCTCAGGGTAACGTGATCAGCTCTTCTTTTGTCAAGCGACATGCAATTCCTCTTCAATCGTCTTCTCCTATCCCCATTGTCCTTCCAGACGGATCACAGTCCTTCTGCAACAGGTACAACTGTTTATTCGAGAATGATGTCATGGTCATAACCATGCTGCGCCTAGTTTCTAGAGCATTCCAACACAACTGTGTCTAGTATATAAGAGCCCTTCAAACGTAGGATTAGACAGCAATCAATCATCGAATAAACCTCTGATTCCACCCTAGAACCCCTCCGACTCTTGACTATTTGCATGGTAGCAAAGGAAACCTCGAACCACCCCTCGAAACCACTGAACCATTGAACCATTGAACCATAAGCTTTTTCATCCAGCCTGTCAAACCATGGAACAACTCTCTCGAACACTCTCCACCCTGAACATCTCAGAAGAAGCCCAACAAGCTGTTGCCAACGCGTTTCGCGCCGCCGTCGCCTCCGCCTCCGAGTCCACTGCCAACGATACAGCCCGTACACTTGCCACGGTCCTTAAACCTCAAAAACCGAGTCCATACGATGGTGCTATCGACGCTGTCGCGTCCCTTAACTTCATCGAGAGCCAGGAAGAGTATTTCGCTATTGTCGAGCTTATCCCAACCAAATGGGTCCGATACGCCGTCCTGAGCCTCGCGGGAGACGCCA